ACCCACCTGCATAGATGTTTCTAGACTGCCTAGTAAGAACTTGATTAGCTAGGCCAGCTGTGTCTGATTGGGATATAAACTAAACTTTGCAGGACACCGGCCCTCCAGAACTGAGTCTGGACATCCCTGCTCGAAATGAAGTTCAGTTTTGTAATTGAATAGCAATTTTCTATTCCTGTCATCCTAACTGAACTTTGTGGATTTAACTATGGCTAATTTACTGCAAGGGACACATTACAGGTTTAAAGTTCCAAACAATATATTGCTAAAAGGTTTGTGATACTCGCCCAATCTCAAAAATTTATAATAATAATAATAAAATAAAATAAAATAACACATTGGTAAACCTTGTGGAATAGTTTCCCAAGAGTTGAAGCTGCAAAGTGCAGCTAACTCCATACAAAACAATAGGGATTAAGATGGAGATACAATGAAAGTTCTTGTAAAGTCAGATGTGACAAACTTTCGCAATTTCAGTAGTAAATAGCTTTATTGATCATGCTCTATATTCCTTGCTAAAACAGACTCGTGTTCTGGTGACTCATGGACTCAGCTTCCTACCCAAAGCAGACCTGATCCTGGTGATTGTGGATGGAGAAATCACAGAGATGGGCTCTTATGTCGAGCTTCTGAGCAGAAAGAATGCCTTTGCAGAGTTTGTTAAGGCTTTTTCTGTTAGTGAACGCAAGGAAAGTGCCACCCACAAAGGTAAGATTAAGTTTACATTAACTACAGTAAAAATACATGTTAATCTAGGTCAATAAAGTAAATAAATGCAAATGCACATTGTTTTAAGGGACCAGGAAATCAGTATCTCGCCTAAGCATGACAGACTTCTCTATTGACCTCTCTCAAGAGCAACTCATCAGGTAAAAGTAACCAAGTTTTGAAAATGCAACTTCAACATTTGTTGAAAAGCACATATTCACCTTCCTGTCAACTTTGTTTAATGAAGTGGAGACATGGGAAGTGCAAGCATACAAACAATGGAGACCATATCTGACACAGAACAGGAGACGGACAATGAAGAAGTTGGCAGACTCACCCAAGCTGACAAAGCACATACAGGCCGGGTAAGCAGTACACCCACATCCGCAGTCTTCACAAACATCAAAATATACCTTAAGTGTAACTCAGTTCCAAAGTTAAGGTAGCAGGTTCATTTTGTAAAGTTCAGCTATGGGTCAGTGACAAGGGTTTTAGATACTTGTGTCACCTCAGAGATCTAATTTTAACTCCTGATTACAGACCTTTGAGCTATATTGTTTTGAACACCATAATATAGCCTTTACATGCAATGTATAATTCACAGTGCAGTTCATCAAATTTTCTTCTTGATAATGGGTCACATAGGTGAAACTGGAGATGTATGTGGAGTACTTCAGGACCATAAGCTTGGCACTCATCATCCCCATCATCTTCCTCTATGCGTTCCAGCAAGCTGCTTCACTGGCCTACAACTACTGGCTCAGTTTGTGGGCAGATGACCCGGTTATAAATGGAACACAGGTTAACACTGATCTGAAGCTTGGTGTATATGGAGCTCTTGGCTTTGCTCAAGGTTTGCATTCTCTCAGGTTTCTTCAACAGGCATCTAGTATCCTTGGTCTGTATAGCTGTCTTGAACATTAACTGTGATCATTTATTGCAGGAATTGCAATTTTCGGGACTACTGTAGCAATATCCCTTGGAGGAATAATTGCATCCCGGCAACTTCATCTGGACCTTCTGAACAACGTACTTCACTCTCCCATGTCATTCTTTGAAAGTACACCTAGTGGTAACCTTCTCAATCGTTTCTCAAAAGAGATAGACGCCATTGATTGCATGATTCCTGATGGTCTAAAGATGATGCTGGGCTATGTGTTCAAACTTCTGGAGGTTTGCATTATCGTGCTGATGGCAACTCCATTTGCAGGAGTGATCATACTGCCGTTGGCTCTTCTCTATGCTTTTATTCAGGTATGCTACTACATATCACTCAAAAAACAATATCAGAACAAGGAGCATTTGTAATTTATCTGACAAATTCCACTTTGTTTTTAGAGTTTCTATGTTGCCACATCCTGCCAGTTGCGAAGACTAGAGTCAGTGAGTCGTTCACCCATTTATACTCATTTCAATGAGACAGTCCAAGGAGCCAGTGTGATCCGTGCCTTTGGTGAACAGCCTAGATTCATTCTTCAGGCTAACTGTCGAGTGGACCTCAATCAAACGTCCTACTTCCCAAGATTTGTGGCTACAAGGTCAGATTCAGTTTGCTTATTCATTCTTTGTTGCATGTCCAGCTATTCGATCCAACATTTTACAATATTTGTAATGTTATTTCAATAGGTGGCTGGCAGTAAATCTAGAGTTTCTGGGTAACTTGCTGGTCCTTGCTGCAGCTATCCTCTCTGTTATGGGAAGGGCAACTTTAAGCCCTGGAATCGTGGGGCTAGCTGTGTCTCACTCTCTCCAGGTAGGGAACTCTGTCTTAAAAAGCTTTGGAAAAATGCATGTTGTCAGCATTTCATACAAGAAATTCTAAAGGCAATTCACACTGCAGGTCACCGGGATCCTAAGCTGGATTGTGCGGTCATGGACTGATGTAGAAAACAACATTGTGTCTGTTGAGCGAGTGAAAGAATATGCTGAAACGGCAAAAGAGGTAGTGTTGGTCTGAATGCTCTGTTTTTGCCATAAATTCCTTTATGATGAGTGACCAAAGTGTATTCATTCCTGCGGTTACCAAGTTTGTTTTGGGTTGTCACAGGCACCATGGACAATCGAGGACAGTCCACTCCCATCTGACTGGCCCAGATGCGGATCCATTGGATTCCAGGCATATGGACTTCAGTATCGCAAGGGTCTTGACTGGGCCTTGAAAGAAATTTCCCTCAGTGTCAATGAGAGAGAAAAAGTAAATATAACAATTGGAGGAATTTAATACATTTTTTCATATTTCATCATTTAATATATGCTAAGCCATTCATCAAATCCAATCAGGTAGGAATTGTGGGAAGAACAGGAGCTGGAAAATCATCTCTGGCTCTTGGAATCTTTCGTATCCTTGAGGCAGCAAAAGGAAAGATCTTTATAGATGGGATAAACATAGCAGAGATTGGACTGCATGAACTGAGGTCTCGTATCACTATCATCCCACAGGTACACCTGAAAATGAAAAAAAGGAAGTTAATAGCAAATGAGACAAACTTTAGAAAAAGACTTGATTTAAATCTCACCTCTTGCCCTAGGATCCAGTGCTGTTCTCAGGTTCGTTACGTATAAATCTGGATCCCTTTGATCGCTACACTGATGAAGAGGTTTGGAGATCTCTAGAACTTGCACATCTCAAGACCTTTGTGTCTGACTTGCCTGACAAACTCAACCATGAGTGTTCAGAGGGTGGAGAAAATCTCAGGTACAAACTCTAGATTTCTCACAAATTATTAGCTTGGGTTGTTTTATTCATAAGTTGACTTACACCTGACCTGTCTGAATACTCTGGCCTTTAGTTTGGGTCAGCGGCAGCTGGTTTGCCTGGCTCGAGCTCTCCTCAGAAAGACCAAGATTCTGGTTTTGGATGAAGCCACTGCAGCAGTGGATCTAGAGACAGACAATCTGATACAGTCCACCATCCGAACCCAGTTTGAGGACTGCACAGTTCTGACCATTGCACACCGCCTCAACACCATCATGGACTACACAAGGTATAACAAAGAGCAAATCTAAATGCTGAAATGAATATGATTATGACGATTGACAGTGGTCTAACTCAATCCTTTTGCCAACAGGGTAATTGTGATGGACAGAGGAAAAATCACGGAGGTAGACTCTCCATCTAACCTGATTTCTCAGCATGGACAATTCTATCGAATGTGTCGAGAGGCTGGGCTGGTGTGAACCTTCACCATCAGTGACAAAATCATATCTTCACTTAGGAGAGACAATGAAAATATTGGTGTCGAACAACCAATATCTAAAGGGCATCTTTAGACGACTTCTTAAAAGAAGCACAGAGCTCAGGATGAAGAGGTTTCGGATGCTATAGCATGTGTCCACATTTTCTCTAGTAGTAGAAGTAGTGTGCTTTAGCGTTCTCCTGCTGATACTTTCACTGATGTCTGAGGTGCTAAAGCAGGGGTGCCCAAGCTCAGTCCTGAGGGCCAGTGTCCTGCAGATTATACCACCATCTTGCCACAACACACCTGCACAGATGATTCTAGAAATCTTAGTAACAGCTTAATTAGCAAGCCCAGGTGTGTCTGATTGGGTTGAAACTAAACTTTGCAGGACACCGGCCCTCAAGGTACGAGTTGGGCTCCCATTTGCTAAAGAAACAGAAAGTCAATAATCTCATCTCATAATATGAAGACTTGAGTGACTCTGAGTAACTTACCGTAAAGGTCTTCAGATGGTCAGGTATTTGTGGTGGTCATTATTTATCATCTCTAATTTATGTCAAAGTGAATTGTTTTTGTAAATATGTAGTTTATTCTTATAGATCCTGAGACAGGATCTAGATAAGACACCGCTGTAGATCAAGTCACATTTCTACTTGAACCTTTTCAGGTTGTTACAAGTTTATAACTTCACATGCTTTATAATTTCATGTAGAAGCACATTGAAAGCTAAATTCCCCTACAGGTGAAAGAAGCATTTTATTAAGCTATTTACGATGTGAGAAACGTCGATTACAAAATAATGCGACACTTTTTCCTTTGTCTGTAACTCTGTATGTATTAATACCAGTATTTGTTTTTCATAATCCAACACTTTTAAATCAGTATTTATGTATTTTATACTGTACAATAACTGTATTTTTTATATATTTATATTTCCAAGCACACATCACGTGTGACTGTCAGACTTGAAAATGTTTTTTATTCTCTGAACAGTTTCATTAAATTAATTATTTTTGTGTTGATAAAAATCATTGTTTTTGTTTTGATCTCTAAGAAAATAAATCAAGCTCTCAAAATGTGAAAAAAATAAATAAAGGATAAGATAAAACACGCTTTACAAAAAAAATATTTTATTACATATTTTGCTTATTTATGAAACTAAGTACACTTAAAACTAGTGCATGTATACAAATATCAAATAATAACTTGCTGCTTACATACAAATTATATAAATATGTAACAAATCAGATATATTTCTTGTGTCTATCATTTAAAGTTTGACATTGTCAGTTCTTTAAAAAAAAACTAATTTTCCTTAAAATAAACTCAAAAGGCTTAAATGACCTTAATTGGAGGTACTGATGAATGAAACAATGTGATGCACTCAAGCATACATTCAACAGATATATGGTATACAGCACACATCACACAGCTCAGCAAGAACAGCATCAACACAACAACCTGCCCTTAAAAGCTACTACAATTTGGGTATTTGACTGGTTAAGTCAAGGTTAAATGATAATTCCAACTACTTTCAAAAACAATATCACTCCCACCACTCCCACAAAGTAAACCCTAGAATGAGCTTATTACACAGAAGAAAAAAAAAACAATAAGTGCATTTATAGCTTTCTTTTTTTCTTTTTTGGTGAAATGATCACTGAAATATATAGTAACAGTAAACACAGATTATAAATCAAATACATCATCTAAATACATTCACCAATGAAAGCAGAAAGCAAATGTAGCATTCTGCTATCACTGCACGATATTGGTAAGATCAGGCCATCAGTGGAGATACCCAGTAATAAATATGTTAAATGAAAATATAAAGAAATCAATGATATATTGTAACAGATTTTCTCAAATGAATAAATAAAAACTAAACAAGGAAAAACAATGGCTCCTGGAAATGAAACAGTTTTTTTTATCAAAAGGGTCTTTTTAAAGATACTTAAATGTTAAATATTCTTATAGAATAGCTTTAAAAGTGAACTTTGGCTTGGGTTGAAGCCCCTCGTGCTTATGTAAGGATTTAGAGCAGCTGTTTAGTAAGCAAGCATCTGCTCACTGCACAGAGAAACTTTGTTCTTTACGCTTTCTAGTCAAATAATCTTGTAAATAAATATTTTCATCACAAACAATCATTCACAAGCATGAAACGATGGCTTAGTAGTAAAATATAAAAAAAAGTCTTTCTTTTGAAACTTGTTGACAAGTAATGAAAAAAAAAAAAATCAAACAAAATGGCAATGAAGAAATCAAATTGTTATCAAACATCCCAAAAGTTGGCATCAAACAACTTTTAAAGCAGCATTTGTAGCAACACCTTTGATATGATTGATAACAGAAACATTAGCTGAGGAGTGGCAGAATGGAGTGGTGTCATATACACACGGTGTGTGTGTGTGTGTGTGTATGTGTGTGTGTGTGTGTGTGTGTGTGTGTGTGTGTGTGTGTGTGTGTGTGTGTGTGTGTGTGTGTGTGTGTGTGTGTGTTTGAGCTCCAGGCCCATAGAAGAGGAAGCTTCAGAGTCCATTTCTCACCAGCTCTGCTCTCTATGCGCTTTACTTACTGAAAGTCTATTTTGAACAGGCTCTACAGCCCACCTACTTATCAGACCAAACCTGAGTCTTTGGCCATCTTGTAGAAAATTCCCTTTTTGGCAATTAAATTGGACGGAGAATCGAATTCTGCCATCTGGCCTTTATCGAGAACCAGCACCCTTCCGAGAAAAAAAGAGGAAATATTTAGTGTTTTAATTTACATGCTATGTTTTTCAGAAAGTAAACCACACCTGACAAAAAAAAAACACCAAAAGCTTTCCACATTGGACACAAAGTGAAAATGAAAATTGTCTGTTGTTTGATTCAGTCAAAATCGCATTGTTGAGAGAGTAAAATAAAACGATGAATTCACATTTTAAAATAAAATTTTTTTTATTTAAAATTGGCAACTAGTAGCTCTCGTGAACTAGTGGTGTACCGGATCACATATCTCATGGTTCAGATCAAACAATGTTTTTTTTTTTGTCACGGATCAGATAATTTTTCGGATCTGTCAAAAACAGACAAACAGAACTGAGAACCTGTAATTTTATTCAAAATAAAATAAAGAAATAATCAGCTGAATAAAAATAAATAGTAAAATGTTCAGTACTGTGAAAAATACACTGTTACTACAACTGTTGCTAAATGTAGAAATCTAATATTACAATTTGTACAATTGATATTTATTTTTAGTCTCGTTTTCAATAAATGATTCAGTTAGTCACTCATAAAACTTCATGTTTCATTGCTAGAAGTGTCATTTTTGAAGAATTATTCAGTGGCATATTTTTGATGGCTGGTAAATAATGTAATTGCTGCCTACAACTTTCATTTTTGAGCGCTGTTATCCCAGTGCTTCTGTGATATTTGACTGTTCATAACTTCATAATTAACTACAAAGACTAAAGACTGAATCTCTTTCTTGATTTTTGCGTTTTTCAAACACGGATTTGAATGCAGCGATTCGAAGGATTAATAAACATAAGCAAATCACCATCATTTATAATTTGTTTTGTAGGGTTTGAGATCCTCATCTTTTAATGATTAATCGTGCAGCTTACACTGAAAACATTGATGCAGGCTAAACAATAGTGACAGAAAACACATTTAATGAAACCCACCACATCCCTAATAACCAACCACAACTTCTTCCGTCACCTTTATATTTTACAGAAAAGCCTAAATGCTTTCATACATGTGATTTGAAAGATGCAAGGCGATCTCTCTGTGATAGTTGCAAATTTAGGATTAATCTACCAGTAAAAAAATGTATTAATCCACAATCACGTGTGTTCCAAACCATGAGATGTGATCCGTATGAATCACAGACGAACCGTGATCCGTTACACTCCTATTATGAACACATATTTGACTTCCCCTCACTACACACCAACACACATTAGAGAATGTAGATGTAAAATATTAGTTTGAAGCAAAAGTAAAAAAAAACGAGAAGTAGCATTCAATATAAACAGTATTAATTTTTTCAATAATCATAAAAGCTCACAGCTTACCTTGTGTAGTCCATGATGGTGTTGAGGCGGTGTGCAATGGTCAGAACTGTGCAGTCCTCAAACTGAGTTCGGATGGTGGACTGTATCAGATTGTCTGTCTCTAGATCCACCGCTGCAGTGGCTTCATCCAAAACCAAAATCTTGGTCTTTCTGAGGAGAGCTCGAGCCAGGCAAACCAGCTGCCGCTGACCCAAACTAAAGGCCAGAGTGTTCAGACAGGTCAGGTGTTAGTCAACTTATGAATAAAACAACTCGAGTTAAAAATTAGGGAGAAATCTAGAGTTTGTACCTGAGATTCTCTCCACCCTCTGAACACTCATGGTTGAGTTTGTCAGGCAGCCCAGACACAAAGGTCTTGAGATGTGCAAGTTCTAGAGATCTCCAAACCTCCTCATCAGTGTAGCCATCAAAGGGGTCCAGATTCATACGCAATGAACCAGAAAACAGAACTGGATCCTAAAAGAGAGGAGCAAGTAAAAATAACCATTTGTGATTGACTTTTTTAAATTAATCAGCAAGGTTTGCTCTAAAAATCGTTATTGTTGTACTAAAGAAAATAAAAAATAGTCTACATCTTAGATGCCCTGAGAGTGAGTAAATTAACAGTAGATTCTCATTTTAAAGTGAAATGTTAGTTTAAATGAGTGTCAGGAAAATAAATAAAAACACCTGTGGAATGATTGTGATTCTGGATCGCAGCTCATGGAGGCCCAGGTCAGCAATGTTCACTCCATCGATTCGGATCTCCCCCTCCGCTGCCTCAATGATACGGAACAGTCCTAACGTCAGAGAGGACTTTCCTGCTCCTGTCCTACCCACAATTCCCACCTAAGAAAAAACACAAACACGAATGACCATGTATGATAAATAGGTATGCCGGTGTAGACTGAAATGTCAAAGCACAAAGAGACAGACCTTTTCTCCTCCCGCAATGTTAACGGAGATATCACAGATCGCCAGCTCTAAGTCCTCTCTGTATCTCAAGCCAAATTTGTGGATTTCAATGTGACCGGCGGTTGGCCAGCCAGGAGGCAAATTTGAGTTCTCCAATTTCCATTCAGCCTGTGAGAAGAGACATCAGTTGAGCAAAAACAAACAAATCGCAACAATATATTATGTAGTAAATGAAGCAAACTTACAATACTGTTGCAAGGCTGACATAAATACAGTATGCCACACTGTAGCAGAATATCCAATACTAGTTTAGCCTGTTAACTGCACTAATTAAACTATATAATAGTTCATGGAAAGTTTTATTATTGTTTATTATTTAAAATATTATAAAAATAGTGTATTAAATTACAAATATTTTAAGAAAATTGTACTTACGAGAGTGAATTAATTTAATTAAAAACCTTAAAATATCATAATATAATTGTAATAATATAAATATTACAATTCTAAATAACTAATTTCTATTTGAATAATTTTTATTACATTTATTTCAGTGAAGCCAAACTGTATTTTCAGCATAATTCCTTGTGTCGTCAGGGTCACATGATTCTTCAAAAACCATTCCAATACAATGATTTGATGCTAAAATGCGCAAAAAAATATTTTGTGTAAACAGTGATACATTTCTTCAAGCCAATTTCTTTTCAATTTTACTGTGTGTATAGGATATGGAATATTTCACTTAATTCCAAAGTAAAGTCACACTGAATGGCAGCTTAAAGTGAATTAGTAAAGAAAACTACCTGTTAGTAATAAAAATAACCTTGCTCAGCAGTAGTTACCAATGTTTATTTAAAAAAAAACAGACCAGCAGCAGAATCTTAGATACACACTTTTCATGTAACCATTTATCTAAATTGTATCCTAAGTTAAAGAAAAAGTCCATGATTAAATGATCCAAATTGTTTCTGAGAACTACTGCATAAAGATCTTCTGTCTAGTCCCTGTATGTTAACTGCCTCTCTAGTACGGTGAGATAAAGCAGGAAACAGGGCTAATCACAGATTGGACTCTGCAGAGGTACAGAATGAACACACACACACACACACACACACACACACACACACACACACACACACACACACACACAATCTGCCTGCTGATGCACTGACCTCTTTCTCTGTGTCTCCATATTCCTTCACCCTCTCCACCGCCACTATATTAGTCTCCAGCTCAGAGGACATCCGCACCAGCCAATTTAGAGATGCTGTGACCTGGGTTGAATAGGAGAGGAGTAAGAATGTGTTTGGACATCTAGCCTGTATCTTAACATCTCATTTATCAGACTAACCTGCAGCGCGTAAGAGATGGACAGACCCATGATACCCGGACTGAGATTGTTCCTGGCCATCACTGCAAAAAGTGCTGCAAACGTCACAATACAATTCCCCACAAACTCCAACCTCACCGCCAGCCATCTGCAAGACACAGAAGAGTCACACAAAACATTACAAATAGCTAGGTCAACAAGGAATCTGCGCGTGCAGAAATCCAAAGATTTGAAGCCTATCTCCGAGTCCATTTATTTACTTGTGTACATTTATATTTATTCAGTTTTTAAATTAATTTCAGTAATATTTTTGACTAATATGAAAATGTTCATAAGATTTATTGACAATACAGTTTGTAAAGTAATATTTTCTGTCTTTTAGTAAAGATATTCTTTGTGAGACTTGTTTGTTTTCCAAAAAAGTGGAACTGATTGGATTTGCATTGTTAAACTTAAATAAAAGTTTGAATAAAAGTTGAATAAAAAGTTTATATATATATATACATATATATTACATTTTTAGTTAGCAGATTCTGTCTGGCTCTACAAATAACACCACAACACACTAAGCGTCCTTTTTTACCCAGTGTTCAAGGGACAGTTCACAAAAAATGAAAATTCTGTTAATTACTCACCCTCATTTCATTCTAATCAACTGAAAACCTTCCTTCATTATCAAAACCTAAATCAAGACATATTGATAAGATAAATATATTTTATCTTATCAATATGTCTTGATTTGGGTTTTGAAAAAAAAAAAATCATTTTTACAGTTTTTTTTTGGCAGCCAAAAGTGTTCTTGAAGCATCATATGGCTATAACTGATCCACTGAAGTCACATGGAAAGTTTTCAGTGTTTTAGTTCCTTTTCTTCACTTTGAACGTCTGTGAACTGTCAGATTTCATCAAAAATACCTGAACTTGTGTTCTGAAGTTAAATTGAAGGTCTCAGGGGATTGGAAAGTCACAAGGTTGAATAATTAATAACATAATCATAAGTTTTGAGTGAATTAACAGTCAGGGCACAAAATCAATTGCCATCAACTTCCTGAGTTTTTATTTCTCCCTACTATAGAAGACAAAGGGCTGCTGGTTTCCAACATTCTTTAACACTTTTTTTTGTGTTCAACAGAAAAAAGAAGTCCATAAAGGTTTGGAACGCCAATAAATATAAACTAAATAGAACATTCATTCATTCACTCATATTCTTTCCAGTTTAGTCCCTTTTTTAATCAGAGGTCGCCACAGCAGAACGTTTTTTGCAGCGGACACCCTTCTAGCTTACTGGGAAACACCCATACACTCTCTTCACACACATGCACTACAGACAATTTAGCTTACTAAATTCACCTACACCACATCACTTTGGAGGTATTGGAGCAAACACGAGGAGAACATGCAAACTCCACACAGAAACACCAACTGACCCAGCCAGGGCTCGAACCTGCGATCTTCTTGCTGTGCGGCGACCAGCTAAATAAAACATGTATATGCCAAATGTATATGAATTCTTACCGGTTGGCTACTATGCTGGGGAAATAAGCTTTCTGGTTGTGGTCCACTCTGCCGTCACTCTCCTTGATGAAGCGCTGCTGCTCTCCAAACGCTCTGATCACACTAGTGCCCAGCAGCGTCTCATTGAAGTGTGTGTAGACTGGAGAGCGGCTCACAGACTCCAGTCGCTTCATTTGACGAGAGGACGCCACATAGAAACGCTAGAGACAAACAGAGAGCCAGGAAATGACTAAACTTCGAATGAATTTCTAAATGTCATACTGCAATAACACTGTGTAACAAGAGGTTAAAAAACTGACTGACCTGTACAAAGAAGTACAGCAGGCCCAATGGTGGAATGATGATGGCTACCAATGGAGTGGCGATGAGGATGACTGCACATGAGCCCAAAACATTGAACATGGAGCCCATGAACATTTTTATGATGCTAGGTATGACTGAGTCGATCGTGTCCGTCTCTTTGGCAAAGCGGTTGACCAGGTTGCCGCTGGGTGTGCGTTCAAAGAAAGACATGGGTGATCTCAGGACGTTATAGAGCATTGTCTGGTGCAGGTAGCGGGAGGCTAAGATCCCACCGACAGACACCGACACAGAATAGCAGAACACAGCAATGCCTGTCAGAGAAAAACAAACAAAAGTTTAAAAAGCTGGATTTAGAACCAATTTAATAAAGATACATACAATATGCATGGGACAAAATAAATAAATAAATCATATTTCATACATTAAATGAAAGTAAAGTAAAGTGAAGTGTCTCCTTTAAGATTTCAAATAACATTTGTAAAAATAAAATGGCAAAATCTGGCAAAAATGTTTCATTCATTGTAACTTATTTAGGTACAAATAAAACAACAAATATATTCTGACTTGTGCTTATTAAAATATATTGAAGAAAGAAGGGTTATACTAAACTGCATTCATCAAAAATATCTGTCTGACAAAAAAATGAAAATCTAAAATCTAAATGTTTTAATGATTGACAATGATTGATCAACAAAAAATATAATTATCAACATTTAAACTATTGCAATTTTGCTAATTGTCATTTTAACAGAAGAAAAAAAAAACCTGCATCAATAGTAAAAAGGTTAATAAGAGTTATGTAATTTTTGTAAGATTATGTCATTATTTACTCACCCTTAAATTTTTCCAATTAAAATTTCAATTCAATCCTAATAAGAATACAAATTTTTGGGTGAACTATCCCTTTAGGGACTTGATACAAAATGCCTATGGTGTATGGATTATTATCTTACACATTTACAATTGTTGAGAAAGCTGTATAATGCAACTGACCTTCAGTAAAAATAGTCAAATCATTAACGTTGTTCACAAATTATAATGCAAATATATGCAATGTCACACAAAAACACACAACCAAAGAAGTGAAATCACCTTGTGAAATTCCCAGAGCTCCATAAACCCCTAAACGCATCTCTCTTTTGGGCTGTGTGTTGTTGACAACAGGGTCATCTGTCCAGAGACTGAGCCAGTAGTTTGAGCCCAGAGAGGAGAGATGATGACAGAAGAACAGAAAGATGCTGAAGATGGACAGCGGCAAGCCGATAGCCTTCATGTATTCCCAAAACACAGACAGCTTCACCTACACAAAAAAATATTACTTAGAAAACATCAAAATCAACTTGAAACATTTCAATTTACATGACTCAAATTCTATGATTTTACAACAAACTATTAGTTGTTTTCAGAAACAGACAAACAATATGTCCTGACATAAGGAGACGGTTGGCTCATACTCTGCCAGTGTTGGCCTTGTCTGCTTCGGTCAGTCGGGAAGCTTCTGCAGATTTGGTCTTTGTTGCAGCAGCATCATCATTAGCTTCAGTTTTCTGTGTGGTTTTACCTGCACCAGTTGCATTAAGAGAGATCTGACTCTGCCTAAAGGACACAGAAAAACAACAGGTTAATAAATGTCAAATGGTAAATGATTGTTACATAAAGCCCAACTAACAATCAGATTATCTAGGACAAACAGTAAGTGTACAGCATTTACTTTTAATAGCCTAAATATAGAAGAAGAAGAAGAAGAAGAAGAAGAAGAAGAAGAAGAAGAAGGAGAAGAAGAAGAACAACAAGAACAAGAACAAGAACAAGAAGAAGAACAAGAAGAAGAAACCCTCAAAATATAAGATGAAAATTATATTGGAAAACACTAAACTCGGTTGAGATATTTATCTGACAAATTATTTGGCAAAAAAAGGCAAACCATAGCTTATCAAAGAACATGATTTCTTTTTTTACTATGGCATAAAATGCATAGAGTACCTGCAGTTTTAGTTTGTTTATTTATTCACACGGCAGCAAATTGTGGCAAGATCAACACAGATAAAAACATATTGCATGATAACTTCATAATAAGAGAAGATATGGTTAGATATGTTTTTTTTTTAGTTCGATACAATAATAATAACCTAAAATGGAAGTAACTGCAGCAAAAACTGGAACTAATATTTCATTGGTAAAACCACATAAGGCAAACCTCTTGAGTATTTCTCACAAAGCACGTTTCCTTATGTTATAATGAATCAATCAACTGAAACAATTATGACATACAAAAGTTTGAGTATACTTTATTTGATAGTGTCCTTAAACTATGCATTTAAGTAAGTACATTAAACCGATGTAATTAGAACACCTTATTAAAGCGTTACCTTGAGTTTTCCACTCTTCAAGGACAACTACACAATTAGTTTAGATAATCTACATCAGCATAACATCAATATGTTTGAACAAAAGGAAACAACATAAGTTCACCATTTAGGCCACTACTGTACACTATTCAAGATCTGATGCACTAGATTTGAATAGTTGATCTCTTTTTTTTTATTTATTTTTATTTTTTTTTACTTCTCTTTAAAACTGAAAAGCTTTTGAAATTAATGACACGTAGTTATTAACTGATTCACCAATTTAGTAAAAAATGAACCTACAAATCAAATTAATTCAAGATAAACAACATGTTCGTTACTTCAAAACATGCGAGTAAAAAAAGGCCATTTTCTCACCTTAATAGGGCAGCAGGACCTCCATTCTCAAGTCCTTTTCGTGGGACTGCATCTGAGGAAGAGAAAACATTGACTAAATCAGATATAAATAAGACACATCTTCCTGCATGCTTCATGCCATTCCACAGCCATACTGCAGTTCAGCACAAACATGTCTATATTAAAAACAGAAATAAAAAGCATAATTTGCTTCTAAAAACAACAACACCTCTCAAGCCAATTGAAATGAGAATTTCTGTAAAAATGAATGAAGGTAAAACAACCTTTTAGGGTCTAAGGTGAGAGTTAAGTTTAGAAGAATCACCAGCAGACTGTACTGTAACAGAGTCCAGCACCTCACACACAATCAGACAAATAAGGAACTGTTACAGTGAAAAGATTGCTGATGACCAGACATTTTAAAATATATCCACCATGCTAATAAAGAATGATGAATGTAACGGTCCAGCACACAGCAAAGAGCTTTTCCTATTTATAAAAATTAAAATGACCATTTACACTATTGTGTGTGAATTTTACACCATATTTTCAAGTTATTTTAATTAAAAACAAATCTAAGAAATTATTACACAATATTTTAGATGGTTTGTTTTATAAACTTGAAAAAAAGAATCATTTTCATCGAAAGCAGCCTGTGACTGAATACTTTAAATATAACAACTAAAGATTTTTAAACATTGAAAAACATTTTTGTTTTTATTAGGCTGGTGAGGTGACCATATCGTTTGAAACTCATACAAAATATTTCCTTTATAAATGAATGTTGTTCTTTTGTACATTTTATTCACTAAAGGGTTTTGTACATTTGTACATTTTATTCACTGAGGGACCCCAAAAATCCTGTACATATATTCATCTTTTGTAAATCTCTGATCATAGTTAATACAACCTGTATATAATGTTCATAGTACATCCATCTGTAAATATTATCCATAGTTTTTCTATAATTGCACTTTATAACTTATACCTGTATCCTGCACTTGCTGCTATTGCACTCCTGGTTAGACCTAAACTGCATTTTGTTGCCTTCCACATGTGTAATGACAATAAAATTAAACCTAATCTAAAATGCATCAATGTCATTCTAAAACTGGCTTATTAAAATTGGCACATATTAAAAGATTTCTGAAGGATGGTTTGATGTAATGTTTTGTAAGTTCAGCTTTGCAGTACAGGAATAACTGTTAAATACTGTACTGAACTGTACAGTAAAACAGTAAAGAGTTAATCTTTGAAACATTAAAAATATTACAATCCCAAAAATTGGACTTAAACTCATTGCATAATTTTGTATATATATTTAATTAGTCAGTTAGTCAGTTTATATAACATACTATTCAAAAAGAGTATAAATTATTCCCTCGAGTACTACTATAAAAAGGGCAACCATTTACTCTACCAAAGTAAAGCTTAAAGCAAGGATGTGTACTAGGTATATCAAGGGTTGTGAGCTACAATCCAGTTTGTCTTCATGCTAGAAATCACACGAAGAAACAGGAAAACTGGTCTCATCGCATCCATACAAACAGAAGAATGAGCTGATGGTGAATTTTAAGGTAACCCACCTAGTTGTTTGCAATGTCATTTGCATTTTTTATATCAATTTGTATATTAGATGTCACCTTTAATGCCATATTGAGTAAAAAAGTTCCATATTTTATAAAGTACATAACAGATATGTAAACAGAAAGCGATGTGACCCATTTTAAAAGGAGAGTGAAGTTTGTTACTCATAAACATCATGAAAATGGATTGGGAAACACTGATTTATGAAGCTTTGAATCCTTCACAAAGTTTGTTTGGAATCAGTGATTCAGACTGTGTATAGAATTGGCAAGATCACAAGATTTCAGTAAACAGGGCTTTGATACATCATTACTATTTCTAATCGCTTAAATTCAATAGTTCTCCACTGGGTGGCAACATCCTGGACTCTCTCATCAAGCCAATACGAAAGTGACTAAAATTGCAAGTTATTGACTAGCTGCTTGAGACTGGCTCCAAAATTCCCCTTGCTAAGATCCCAAACTTTACAGGAGAAAAAAATTTGACAGCCTTGTACAAAAAACGATTGAGTTAAAAAATAAAATAGAATGTTGCCATACAATACTATGCCTAAATTTCATAAATAGCTTAGCATTTGCTTGCATTGACTACTTTTACAAAGACACCATTAATCACTATTTACCTTAATTTAAATAAGGCAATAATATGATTAAGGCGATTATATGAGTAGGTTTATTAATGTTCCTTTCATTTTCCCGTCTTCCATGTTATAGTACAGTATAGTAGTATAGATCATTTAACATCATTACATCAAAACTGGACTGACACAGTTTTAATTTACTACAACTGCTATGTTAAGCTGCTTTGACACAATCTATGCTGTAAAGGCATTATAGAAATAAAGATAAATTGAATTGAACTATGTTTTTATACAGTGTAATAACTGTTAAAAGCTTTTAGTTACTAGTTAGTTAGTTGAAGTTATAAGCAACTAATAAAGTTATGGTAACTAATAACCTTAACTTTTTTGGAATTTGATTGTAATACAGTAATGTGCACCTCGACACAGTAATTATTGTTAAAAGTGCTATACAAATAAACTTGAACTAAACTGAAACATCAATCTAAATGCATTTAATTATCCGAGAGTGATGCTCGATCGGTCTGGGGACATCCTAAAAAGATAGCAATGACTGTCTGCGCCCACTTGTATCATCTTTTTTATTATTATTAAACAGTAAATGGTCAGTAATTGTAACAATGTAATGAAACATTGTGAACTATAGAAAGAACATAGAGGAGGCCAGGGGCTAAAGCAGTAAAAAAAAAAAATATATATATATATATATATATAAAATAACCGGCACAATATTCATAAAATAATAATACAATATAATAAGTAAAACAAGAAATACATATAAATTAAAGCTTAAAACAAAAATAAAATATTAATAAGGGTGTAAGTAAGAGTGTAAGTAATTAAACTTGTATCTTAATTTGTGCTCTTTAAAAACCTACAGATGATTTCACTGACACTACATATGGTGTACATATTTTTAAACAATCTATGGATGAATACTGTGGGTAGTGGTACACCATGACTAATAATAACTTAATAATAACTAAACAGGATTCATAGTTTCTACTATAGACTGGATGAGTTTTACAAATTTGTAAATGTGTTAATGTGTAAAGTGAAAAGGAATAATATTAGTCAATTAGTCTCATGTTGGCCTGTTTAACAGAGTCCAGAAATAAAAAAAAACCTTGAAAATTGTTAAAAGAAAGTATATTATGTGGAGACGATATTACATAAAAATATTACAAGATATTACATAAAAAAGCCAATTTTAATCCATGTTTTGCCTATGTTTTTGTTGCATTTACACAGTTCTGACCAGCAGCTGTCCATGTAATGTGGTGTTTCAAATGCTTCAAAAAAGAGAATCATTTAGCGAAGCAATTGGTTCAATGGTTTCAAAGCTTTGAAAAGTTTACTTTTCCCATCACTACAGGGAAGTACTAAAGAACTAACTCAGACCCTGTTTACACTAATACGTTTTAGTTTTAAAACGCATAAGTTTTGCTACAGTTACTCCATCCGTCCACACTACGCCGGAGTTGTCGAGTGCCGAAAACGGAGCGTTTTGAAAATGCTGAAGAAGCAACTTTCATTTTAAAACGCTGCTGCTCCGTGTTAGTGTGGATGGGAAAAAACTGAGACATCGAAAAACAGAGGCGTGGCTGCAGACGTTCACCTATCTGATTGTTTTTCCTCAATATTAGGTATGCCAGGTATGCATGCCAGAGTGTGTGTGTGTGTGTGTGTGTGTGTGTGTGTGTGTGTGTGTGTGTGTGTGTGGTCGCGTAATATGAGTTTACAGTGGTGTAGAGTGGACGGAGAGTTGTTCAGAAATGCTAGGTGAAACGCCAGTGTGGAGGCGGACCGTTTTCATTCTAAAATGCTGTTTTAAAAATAAACGTATTAGTGTAAACGGGGCCTCAGTCTGCACTTCAAACATCATACTGCACCTCAAACCTGCATGAGAACAAGCCCTACTCTAACATGCAGTACGTGCAGACCTATTGAACTTCTATGGCCCGGGGACCCATTACACCCTCAAACCTTCAGATTTTCCCATTTCGTCCTCTGCCTCCCCTCCCTCCTCTGAAGAGCCAACAGAGGGGACATAAAAAATAGGAACACATGGAGATGAAGACATACAGACAAACACAAAAAGAGATTTATCTCCAGACAAGGATTAAATGGGGGAACAGATCACACACAATGGGAACAATAGGAATCATTCAGCAGCAGTGGCTTTGAGACTGGACAGATGTGTGAAAGCATGAAAGCCCTTCAGACGTTTGCTCACCTCCCAATGACTCCTCCCCCTCCTCCTGCTCAGTGTTGGTGTAGGTGCGCAGGAACTCAGCGAAGGCACCCTGCCGGCCCAGCAGCTCAGTGTAGGAGCCCATCTCTGTGATTTCTCCATCCACCATAACCAAGATCAGGTCAGCCTGGGGCAGGAAGCTCAGACCATGGGTCACCAAAACACGAGTCTGAAAGTGGAGCATGTGTGATGGTGACATGTCTATCTATTGGAGATCTATTATGATTTATTGGAGTAATGCAAATGGAATGAGCTTACTCTGCCCTGTAGCAACCCTTGAGGTCCGATGACTTTCTCAAAGATGTGTTTTCCAACATGAGCGTCCACGGCAGAGAGCGGGTCGTCTAACAGATACACTGAACAGTTGCAGTACACAGCCCTGGCCACACTCACACGCTGTTTCTGACCTCCAGAAAGATTCACACCCTGAGATTACAAGATCACAAGATCACATCGTTAACCCGACTGACTGTTCTTTTTACACATTCAATGCAAGACACATCTTTGCCTCAAATCTGAGGTCAATATAGGGCTGTGCAATATGACTACTGTAAATACACTGTAGCATTTCATGTTATGCTTAATCGTTTATTTTGTGGTGTCACAAAATACATTGTTTAGTAATACTTTTTCATAATTTATGAGTGTAATATTATAGTGCAATATTATAAGCTAGAGCTGCACAATTAATAGTTAAAAGATCGCGATCTCGTTTCGACCCCCTTAACGATCTTAATCCAGCATTTCTACGATTCTGTCAATCATATTTTCAAGTTCAGGAGAGAAGAAAAGGCGGCTGCACGAGTCTTTTCAATGTTTCACACTCAGTGATATTGACACCTCCAAATGATGTTGAATGAGTCACATACTGTATTTATAAGGTATAATTGCGAGTAACAGGTAATACAGTTGCAAATATTATTCAGTTTGTGTCACAGAGTGATCGTTTGGGAGCCGCGCGCGAAGTATGAACAAGCACTTAGCAGTCAGAATGAAACCGAAAGTGTGCACTTCATTTAAACGATCATATCGCATTTTAGAGTTATGATCATGTCAAGCATTTGATGTTTTTTCTTTCATAGTGAACCCACAGTTGTGCATGAAAATAAAGGTTTACAATGTCAGTATAACTACTTTAGCCTATATATTGTTGAATATAATCTGATTTTACCAATGAATAAATTTGTCTAATATGACAGATTGCAAGCATATATCTCAAACATAATAATTCACCATCAGAATTATTATAAGTAGAATATAATTATTTATAGAAACCAGTAGACCTACACATAATATTATTATCGAGCTTGTGCCATATGTTTGTTTTTACCATACCTTTATTTTACATCTACAGAATCATGAGAGAATCGTGATCTTTATTTTAAGCAAAAAAAACGCGATTCTCATTTTAGCCAGAATCGTGCAGCTCTATTATAAGCCATTACAAAATGAAAACAGAAACAATAATAACAGCATAGTGAGAAAGTTCGAGCAATCTTGAAAGTGTAATGCTTACATTTTATTAAGCAATTTTTTTTATCTTAATGTTGGATTTGTAATCTTTAGTTTTTAAAGTGTTACACATTTCATTAATATTAATTTTACATTTCTACATAAAACAAAGAAGAAACAGTCCTTTACATGTGGTCTATATATTTAAACTATTAATTGATTGAATTTACAGAAAATGGTACAATATTGTGCTATATTTCGTTACCAGGATATGAGATGAATATCGTGAAGGGGTCAAGAATCTGATTTTAAAAAAATTGCCAATTGACACTACTTCTATATGCTAATTGATTTTACTTTTTATCAAAAGTTTTTAACGCAGTAATTACTTAAGGAAATTACATATTAAATAATAAAAATGTGATAATTTCCATATATTTCTCAGAACAGAAAAGGGACAAAGCTAGGTTTAAAATAAAAAAAAGAAATAAACTCTCCACATTTTTAGGAAAGTTAAGTAAGCTAGGTAAACAATATACATACACACAATTTTATAAAAACCTTGAGAATATATAAAATAATGAACATAGAAAGTATAGTTTATTCATATTTTAAACCTGTTTTTATTTCAGTGCATGAAAAAAGAGGGAAAATGGCTTTTAAATATAACTCATGTATTATTCTTGAAATAAACAGGAAGAAATTAGATAAATTTAAAAAAGAAACCCTAAATGTGCATGTTATGGAATAAAATAGAGCATATTATGGAATAAAACATTTAAACAATGGTTATATCTTTACAATATTTATAAATGGAACTTGGTTAAGACCTGCCTTCTTTAATCTACCATGGTTAGTTAAGACTTGACTTGCCTTCTCGCCAATCTCAGTTGTGTCTCCTCCAGGAAGGATCTCAAGGTCTGGTAGAAGAGCACAGGCCTCCACCACTTTCTGGTACCAGCTGTCTTTGGTTTCCCGTCCAAACAAAATGTTGTCTTTGAGAGTGGCATTTTGTATCCATGCTTGCTGAGGCACGTAAGCCACAGAGCCCTGAAGACAAAGTGAGACACTCAATCTCTCTCTATCATCCAATTGTGAAATGTTATCCGAACACCCAGCTTGGGCCAACAGAAGTGGAAAACTTTGAGAGTCTGATATTTTTCGATAATATCTTTAGCATTGTTCACTTAAATATTAAATGTCTGAAATCTAAACAAAGAAAAAGTAGGACTAAAAATTAATGGCAAGTTTTACAGATAGAAACTTTTACTTCTAACTCTATTTCTAAGAAAATTGGGGACAATGATCATGTGATGGTCAGATGTTCTTGTTTCTAATGAGGCACAAGATGCTTTCTGGATCATTTTCAAATCATGTGAAGTTCAAGCAGCTTGAGTGCTGCTGTCATTAAAGGAAAAGGGGACAAACAAAAAAGCCAAATTTCTGATTTATACATGCATGTGTCTGTTTTTTCACTTTCTATTGACTTTTTTTTTTTTTTTACAAATAAATTCTCTAAATGCTAAATTTGTTATCTGTGCTTTATAAAATAAAACACAAATGAACAATGTACCTATTATTAACATATCCAGAAAACTTCTAAGTGGTCTTTTATTTATTTTTTATAAAGCAGTATCTATACTTTTAAACTTAAATACAATGCAGCACTCCATTAGAAGAGCCACTGCCCTCACACAACATCATTTCAGTTGACTTCACTACAAAGAAATTCAATAGGGAGCACAAGGACAAAGGTCTGACTCTGTACCTTGATCGAGACCGATCCTTCTTGCTTATGCATCTCTCCCAGCAAAGCTGAAAGCAGAGAGGACTTCCCCGAACCCACATGCCCCACCACAGCAACCAGCGCCCCCTCAGGGATACTTACATTGATCCTGGAGGGAGGTAGAGAGAAAGAGAGAATAAAACTAAATCAGATACAAAGAATTAACTGTTTAATCACCTGTGGACACATGCAGTATTGCAAGAAAAAAGGTTTCATTTGTTCATCTATTCTTCCATTCATTATGATTTCTTCATTCACGTGATAATAGAGTGCTCTGATATTAACAACTGAATTTAAAATGAGCAATAATGCAAGACAAATTAAACATTTCAATCCTTAATTTGAAGTAGATGTGGCAGAAATCAAGATTGAAAAGGAAAACGGCGACCCAAATTTCATCATCCCTCTCATTAACATCAACGTAGATTCATCAGATTACAATTGCTCTGGGGTTTGACATTTTTCCTGTAATGGAGTTCATGCACATGTACTTGCCTGTCATGTCCTCAGTAGCCTGTTTCACTGGTTCTGCTCGGTGTAACCGCAATAATGTCAATGAGTGTCAGTACTACATGTCATTTTAATGCCTAGAATGTATTTACATTTGTGCAGAGTTTTCCATAGGGCTGGGAATTGAGAACAGAACAATTTACCAAAAACTAACTCATTTATTGATGATCTGTAACGTTAATGGTTTATGAATGCCTTACAATGTGGCAGAAACTATTGTAATCAACTTTGGCTTTTGCATTTTTGCTATTGAATGTAACATAAACAGGACCATGAGGGTGCTATAAAATATGTCCTATGAAGCAAACTTTCTTCTGGATTGAATTTGTTCAAAATTGTGTCATTGTGTCATTTGAATGTATAGTTTGTTACAGTAAAACAATGTTATGGAGATATGTATATATATGTGTGTGTGTGTGTGTGTGTGTGTTTGTGTGTGTGTGTGTGTGTGTGTATGTGTTGTTACATTGTTTTACTGTAACAAACTATACATTCAAAACATTCAAATGTCATTCAAAGATATTGTATTTGTTTACTCTTGAGTAACCACTGTGAGATAATCATGCATCTTAAAGAGTAAAATAAACACTTGAATCATAAAATTCCAAACAATTCCCAACCCTAATACTCTGTAACACTGAATGAGATGCTTTTTATTATACCACTAGTACTTGAAACATCCTTTACAGACAAATCAATTGATGTTACCTCTTCAAAGTTGGAGGGTCATCTTTCGACCAGCTGAAAGCTCCGTCTGCAATCCGGATGCTGTCAGGAGCTGAATGGGCAGGAGACAACAATGAAGTCTCTCAAGTGAACATCAAAACACATTGGGATGTCTTTAAACCCACAGATTTGTCATACAGCTGTTCTGCTCTTTCATACAATGCTGGTTTATGTCCATCTGTGGAAACTATTTTGAGACTGCAGGGTTTTAAAAGTCAAATATGAACCGCATACATAGCACATTGGTTTGATTGTAAATGTGAAGTGCTTTTGAATCAATATACTTACTTCCAGAAATGGCTGGCCGCTCCACATTGTCATCATCCAACTCCTCATGGGACAGAAACACACGCAGGCGTTGCATAGACACACTGGCCTGAAGAAAGCAATGCAAGTCGTAAAAAAAGAAAGCCATGCAGACAACACTTCTTCACATTACTTGATCTACAGTTGAAGTCAGAATGCGGTATATGCAAACAGACTTGTAATTTCAGTTAGCCAGCCACAGGGCTTCTGGTTACTTGCCATCCCCTTTAAAAATTTCCTCATTTAAGATCTGATATCTTCAAAAAAATGTGTTTTTCACTGCCTGGATGAGATCTGATATAAAGTGGGTATCAGAGCAAACAAGAAACATTGCATTAAATTATATCTTTCTGCGCCATGTCTTTAAAATGTGGAAATTAATTTTACCTCACTATTTCTAATGGAATCTCTGCGCTAGCCTGCTGCTAATGATGGCGCCTGTGTTTTTCATCTCTTTTTACGATTTAACAACCAAATGGACGCTTAAGTCTATTTAACTGAATGTATTGTAATTACATTACAAAATCGATGCTGTAAAAGGAACCTTATGAAATTAAAAATAGTCACATAAAGCTTTCACCGGAAGTTCATCATTGGCTGAAAAACACTAGCTGGGCATATTGCCCATTATTAGCCCTTCTGAAATATTAGCTTTTTTATATTGTTCCCCAATTTCTTTTTTTATTCCAACACATTTCTAAGCATAAGTCCTAATAACTAATTTCTAAAAAACGATTTATTTTATCGTTGCCATGATGACAATACATAATATTTTACTAGATTTTTTTCAAGATACTAGTATTCAGCTTAAAGTGAAATGTAAAGGCTTAAATAGGTTAATTAGGCAAGTTAGAGTAATTAAGCAAATCATTGTATAATACTGCATAATATTGACCTTAAAATGGTTTTAAAAATTAAAAACTGCTTTATTCTATCCAAAATAAAACAAGACTTATCCAGAAAAAATATATATATTATTGAAAATACAGTTTTAAAAATTAAAAACTGCTTTATTCTATCCAAAATAAAACAAGACTTATCCAGAAAAAATATATATATTATTGGAAATACAGTGAAAAATTCATTGCTCTATTAAACATAATTTGGGAAATATTTGAAAAAGAAATTTACAGGAGGGTGAATAATTCTGACTTCAACTGTATGGTCAAGGTAATAACCATTTCAGAAAATGTTGACCATATTCTGAGGTATACATGCAGCATTTTAATAAGAGAGAGACTGTAATACCTGCACCATGCTGCTGATTACCATGGGCAACATATTAAGAGGGAAACGAAGAATGTTGAATAGAGCCAGAGAAACAAATGCCTTCTGAGCATCCAAAATATTGTTTTCATCCACTAAAACATATACAGCGAACGTGGAGAGTGCAACCTTCATAACAAAAAACAAGACATGAGCGAGTGTAACTCCACAACCACAAGCAAACATTGAAAATTGTACAAAAGAGCCACTTACCAAAAACGGCGCGCAGACCCAAGTAAAGGTGGAAATAGCACCAAGGTAAGCCATTTTCTTCAGCACACGCAATTCACTCTCTCGGATAGCAGATACTTTGCCTTTGAAAGCAAGTTCCCATGCGTAGAGTTTAAGCACTTTAATGCCATTCAGCACCTCATTCATAAGCTTGATCCTATTGTCCTTGCTTTTCATTTGGGCAACCTGTGGGTGAGTGCTTCAGATTACCAAACATGATCTGATTAACAACATTTTGAGGTAAATAAACCTGTCATGCAGGAACAGAGGTGCAAAAAACCTGGTAGGTTTTAGTTTTCATGGCAATGACCGCATTTAGAGGAACCATTAGCACCATTACGGCAACTCCTGCGAGCACTGAAGCACCCAAATTCTGATTTAAAAAAAGAGAGGGAAAATAATACAGGCATTAGTGATGTTGAATGAAACAAACACACAGTTTATACAATTCAAAATCTCTTTACATACCTGCCACAGAAAGTATAGAGCCAGGATAACCTGCAAAGGTGCTGACCAAATCATATTGATATATGTAATGAGGTCCATGAACCGCTGCGCGTCTACAGACATCAGATTCACAATCTCTCCAACTGTGGATGTTCGCCGGGCAGCATTGGTAATCACTAAGGCCTTAAAAAATTCCGAATAAATTTAAATGGATTAAAATTGACAGTGAAGACATATATAATGCACAATAAAAATGCATTTAAATACATGCTGCAGTCTTTTTAGAATCCTAAATAAAGTTGCATGTTGAATGTAAATTTTAAGGTTTTCAACACTGCTTTACTAATAATAGGATATTTTACATTAAAATATATTCAAATAGAAAACAAAAATTTTACATTGTAATGATATATGTTTATTTATTTTTTACATAAAATTTAACATATTTGATTGATTAAATACAGCTTGAGTGAGCATGAGATGCCAAATTGAAACTACAGGGCACAACAATAAGGACTGCATGATGGCCTGGGGCCACCGTGAGAGATGCTAGGGACAGTAGACAGAATCGTTACTGGCCCGATCAGTAAAATCGGGATCACTAAAGTTTAATTTGCATGTGACTATTTGTAAATTGTGTGCAAATATGGTCTTAGAATCGAGAAAGAGTTTGTGCTTTTAAGCCTTTAAATGCCGTCTTCTCTGTAATGTTAGATAGACCACATTGTTTTTCAGTTCCTCTTATCTGATTGGATGTTGTGAGCACATTATTATTTTTTTCCATAACCTGGTAACAACCAGTACAGCGAAGAGACAGCAACATCAAAATATGAGGCAAAAAAAAAAATTTTCTAACGTCTTAGAAGCAGACATTTATATGGGTACAACATAATGAAAAAATGAAGTGATGTTTTGCACAGTTTGCTGTAAGTTTGGCAGGTCGGCCACCTTATGTAAAATATTTCAGAACCGCAATAAAATACCTGCACATTTTCCATACTGTTTATTTTGGTTGCATAACACTTAATTTTGCATATTATGCATTTATTAACATTTATAAAATAATTAAATTCTAGAATCACAGACGTTATTTTTGACACATAATTTAAAATATGTGGCTAAAAAAAGAGCTATTAACTTTTCCTTTTTTGTAGGTGGGGATATTAAAAATTTTGGTAGGGCAAGTAAAAAATTGGGTCATTAAAAAAAATCCTTAGCATTGAACCCTAAACTAGTAACCAATTTTAAAACTTTAATAAATTAACAAATTAATTCATTAATAATTCAATAAAATTTCTGAGAACCAAATTTTTACACACTGATATTGAACAAATGTATTATTTATGCTTTTTTTAATATCTAAAAATAAAAAGAAATATAAATATTAATATTAGCTTATTACACTTCATAATTAATGCATGTCATGCATTTTTATCAATCAATCAATTAAAACTACACTTACTTTTCTGTATACAGCACCAACTATGGCTGTGCGTAACCTCATGCCAGTCACAAAGCAAACGTGGAAATATTTCTGAAGAATGAGTGTTTGCAAGCAGGTACAAACGAACAGCAGGGCAGTGTAGAAGTAGCCATGCCAGGTGGGGGCACTTGAATCATTCACAAACAGGATCAGCAGCCTAAGATACAATAGACCAAATTTAATACTGTATGTCAGTCCTCTTCACCACAAGAAGAATGCAAATATCCAAGATTCAAGTGTGTGAAAACTGGGCAAACTGGTTAAAGGCTCTCTGCCGTGAGTTCAAGTGTTATTTTCAAGAGATTAAGCGGATTTAAACATGGTCCAGTGCACAATTTGATGGCATAACTTCCAACATGCCAAAACTAACTCTTCATTGAAGCCCTTTTAAGAGCCACAGCTGTTGTTTTGACATCGAGGCCTTCCTACTGAGTTAAAGTCATTTCTAGCCACATGACTGTGAAAACGCTGAGGGAAGGCTTGCCCTTGCCCCTGCAGACCACTACTGCTCCTGAACCCAGCAAAGACTGAGATAATTACAAGCAGAAAGGCAAAAATAGCTCATGTTGTTGCTGTAGATTCATACCTGAGAATTTCTGGTCCAACAAACATCAAGACGTCATGTATAATCTTATACAGAGAGCTGACGAGAAAGTATGGTCCGAATGTTCGGCAGAGGGCAAAAAAGAGAGACGGTTCCCCGGTTTTCTGAAGGGCTTTTGCAAGCAGAATCTCTGACTCCTCTACTGGTTGTCCGTCCTTCTTTTCTCCTCTTGTAGATCGTTTTGGAGAGTACAGTGTCTTGTCTACCGGCCTAGCACAAAACACATACACCAGCCAGAGGATTAGCCAATTTTGTAGCAAATCCACAGTCTTTATTGTCTTTGAGAAAACGATTAAAAATCGAACTCTTCTGTCTGACCTTTTGACCTTGACACATTCCTGGTCCCAGCGGCGCACCAGCTGTGGCACCACTCTCTCAGACTTATCCTCATTGTTGAGTGACCACAGATCTTTCTCCTCCAGGGGCCGTTTATAACCCTTCACCATCAATCTGTGAAAGAAGGGAACAAATGTCAAGTAACAAAAGGACTTTTTGAATGCTGACAGATAGTACATAGAATACAGAAAGAGACTGAACAAATGGGAGCAAGAAATTTCATGAGCAAGACAAAAAAAAAATGCATAAACAAGCAAGCAATTTCTCTCTCAATTATTTTTTTTTTTCACAAATGGAATTTCAGCTCACCCTGTAATCCACCAGAAAGTGATTTTTGACAAGAATGAAGCTCCTGACTCTGGACATGGATTCTATAAACAAACATTTGATAAAACATGTAAACGTGAGGGAAAGGAGATGGTATTATTTACTTTAAATATTGTTTATTTTTGTATATATACATAAATATATTTATGAGTGTGTATTAAACAGTATCAGCTCAATTAATCAGGATGAATGACATTCTTCCAATGTATAAATCCTACATATACATTTATTTTAATACATATTCATGTCTAATATTACACTGAAAAACTTTCACTTCAAGATGAAAAAATACATAATAAATATTTCATGGTTCACAATAAAATGGTTTATCTGCAGGTATACGTGATCATATTTATCAACCAAAGTCGGTTTCAAAGTTGGGTTTAATGCAGGACAAAAGATTAATACACTACCTGACAAAAGTCCTGTCGCCTCTCCAAGTTTTAGGAACAAGAAATAATAAGTTGATCATTTGGTATCAGAAGTGGCTTATATAAAAGGCAAAGGCTTCTAGATTACACTTATTTTACCAAAATAAAATATGATCATGCCTTGATTTTTAATTATTTAATTTGGACAGGTCTGACTTTACTAAGACAAAAGTCTTGTCACCTAACAGAAATGATGTCCAGTATAGAATATAAAGTCATGGTAAAGTGGAAAAACAATTAATATTGTGTATGACCCCCATTAACTTGGAGGACTGCATTCATACATCTCTGCAATGACTCAAATAACTTATTCATAAAGTCATCTGGAATGGGAAAGAAAGCGTTCCTGCAGGACTCCCATAGTTCATCCAATGGATTAATCATCAATGCCTCCTCCTTTATCTTACCACAGGCATGCTCAATAATGTTAATACATGGTGACTGGAGTGGCCAATCCTAAAGCACCTTGCCCTTTTTTGCTTTCAGGAACTTGAAAAAAGGAGGCTAAAGTACGAGAAGGGGCGCTATCCTGCAGAAGAATTTAGTCAAGTAGTGTATATTTTTTTATGTTTCTAAAATTAATATAGCTTCATAGAACATGTTAACACTCTGTAATCTAAATATACTTAATGGTTCTAAATGACCCAAACAAAACATTTTAGAGAGAGAAAGAAAGAGAGAGGGATGTAGAGATTGAACAACAATATCTGGATAAAATAAGGAAATTTACTAACCGAGTCTTTGACGACCTCTGAAAACAGTGGAGGTTGGTCAGACAAGCAGGCAAGGATCAGGGAGATGAGCAGCAGGGTGTAATATATGTAAAAGGTGGTATATCTGAATACACCCACACTTGCAGGCTATAAGGAAAACCAAACAATACTACTTTAAGGCGTTGATCACATTACAGAGAAATCTGATTTGGTTCAATGTTCACTCAGGTCTAACTATAATTTTGCAATTGAGAGTGGAGTCAGTTTTTATTTATTAGTTGCTACAGTAATGATATTACAATCAATGTAATACTGAACGTTCTTCTTTTACAGGAACTGAAAATTAGCTGACAGTGTAAAAACAGACAAGAAATTTGGCTTTTCCTGCGGTCCAGAGCCCACATGACATAAGCAACAGAGGCGTTTAACATTTTCATGAAAATACTGCATCTAAATCAAATGACTATTTACTCATGCCCACATTTTTACATACAGAACTCCATTTAGTTCACTACATAAGTTAAGAATGAACACGAATAAGTGAATTCACTTATAGATACAGATATATAACTCTTTATAATGATAAAAAAATATTAAATTCTGTGGCCAGTTTTGTAAACTGTTTAGATCAGCTTTAGTAAATCACTCCCATTCAGTCTCATTCAAGAGTGACTGTAAAATGTATTGAATGTAAATTAAATGTGAAATTAAGATATATACATACACAAAACTATAACCATTTTGTAATTTAAATGAAAGAAATTTAGAAAATATTTATAAAAAACTTGTATTTGAAATATATGCATTCGTCTTTAATATTTATTAAGATGCATTTAATATTATTCCAATTCCTTGCTCTGTTAAAAATCCTCAAGGAAATATTTGAAAAAAATACAATAAAAATCCCAGTATTTTGACTTTAACTGTACATGCAATTTTGTATTTCAGCATTGCATTTTATTTGTATCAATTTGTTTTTGTTTTGATTTACAGATTTTAATTTTTGATTATTAGTTAATTATTGGTTATCGGTCCATTACCTGCAGATTTGTTGTGGCTAATAAAATAATTAGAAACATAAATAAATAAATAAATAAATCTAAAAACTATATAATCATTCATTTATCCATTCATTTTCTTTTCGCATTAGTCCATTTATTAATCCAGGGTTGCCACAGCGAAATGAACAGCTAACTTATCCAGCACATGTTTTATGCAGCGGATGCCTTTCGAGCTGCAACACATTTCTGGGAACTATATAATCATTTTAAATAATAATAATAGCACAAATTGCAAAACAAATAAATTATAAAATCTAACCAAAAATTATAATATTTTGTTAAGTTTTAACAAAAGAATAATATTTACATCATTCAGTGCGTGCATGATCTTGGAGCGAAAGGTGATCGTAGCACACACTATAGTGATCAGCCAAAAATTGAGCATCACTCCTGAGGACTGGACCCCCTTCATCCGCTCGTACTGGATCAAGAAAGTAGCCAGCAACTGAAAGACATACATGAACATGAGCAGACCATGCTACCATCTATAAAGAAATCTATTTCCTCCCTTCAAGGAAAATACATGTATGTCATTTGAATATGAAATCAATGCAAAGTAAATTACAGGCAAAGCAGTTTAGCTCAGCTCTTCCTTTTGTGAAAGAACGGGTCTCACCATTGTAACACCAAGCATTGTGGGGCTGACTAGGTAGACTGGGGCTACTGTAGCCCCGTGGCTTCTTTCCCAGAAAGAGTAGAAAACATCTGCCCAGCAGATAAGCCATAGGGTAAACCCGATAACCTGGTGGAGGAGAGTCACATGACCTTCAAACCCCTGTTGACCTTGACAGAGTTATCAGGAAACACATTCACAAAGCAGGCTGCAACACGCAAACAGAGTTGTTTACTGTACTCACTGTTTTGGCTCTGTTGAGGTGGGTCATGCATATGTATCCGCGATCATGGCTTTTGAGGTATAGGATGTAGAGTGGTGCAAAAAGCCAGAGGTAGAGACAGGGTATCCAAACCAGCACAGTGTTCTGGAAACATGGGGTCAGGTCTGGATAGTATGTTTGCCATGTCCGGTTCCAATCCTGAAAACAAGACAAGAGGGCTTCATTCCTTTCTCCACATCTCTAGAAATTCTTTAGATGAAACATGGAAACAAAGCAATTATTGAAGTGGACACTGTGATCTCAGACGAGTAGTAAAGCACACAAAGAACTAATGATGTGTGCAAGGAACAAACACTTCAGGACTTCTGCGAGGAGCCTTCTGAGAACCAAAGTCAAGGATGTTTTTTTCTACGCAATAGAGCAGAGCTGAGAGTCTTCTTTAAGTAGTAACTTCTAAAACATTAACTAAACCTTTTCCTTACAAAGAAAATCTAATCTTGTTCTCTGCAGGAAGCATGTGTTCCCATAACCCTGCTGTCTCTGAGGAGAAAAAAAATAGATCAATAAATTAATGAGAATAACAGATCAATAAATAAAAGGCTGCTCAAGTGCAAGACACGAAATGTGATTTGCCTGACATTTGAACTGTTGAGTTAAATGCATCTGAACAGCAATATCAACATTTTATGTTGACACTAATGATTCCTTCAAAAGCTGTTAAGAGCAACGTATTTCATGGCATTTATATTCTAAAGTACTTGTTTTTCCTAAAAGAAAAACAAAGCCAGTTTTTAGAACCACTAGGACTAAAGGACAATAATTCATATAAAATGTAAAACTCCCCATATAAAAAAAACATTAAATAAGTGAAAATATGATAGAAGCAAATTACATTTTTATTTTAAATATGTGCTAATAATGAAATTTTATTTTACTGCAAAACATGTAGTTGACAATATTGTAGAATTTATTCAAATAATATTACAATGTGATAAGGAAATTTGACATTTAAATTAGTATTTTTATATCATGGAAGTCGCAATGATTAATATATATATATATATATATATATATATATATATATATCGACTTATCGCACAACACATGGACATCACCTCAATCATTTTTGATGATGCAATATATATCGTCCATACAAAAAAACAATTCTAGCAACATTGTAGCTGATTGTGCAACATATCTATCTCTACTGGAGGTGTTAGTGTCAGTATGGTTAAAACACTGTAGTATTTACTATAAATTACTAAAGTATATTTTTATGTGGGTGTTGATCTAGTAGCAGATATCGCAGCCTCTAATACTTTTTAGGTTGCACTTGTTTGTTAACATTGATTATTATTTATTTAGGATATGTGTTTTCCCATTCTGATTACAAAAACCTTATTACTATAATTAAATTAAATACATATCATATTTTATATTGTACTTGCATTGTGTTCTGAGTTCTGACATGATATAATGAGTGGCATAAAACTGTCTTAAAATGACAATAATATCGTTTATCCAAATATATTTTGGTGCAATATAATGTACAACAAAAAATAGATATCGTGACAAGCCTAGTGGAGGCATTTGATCTATTTCCTCACTTATGGCTGAACAAAAAGATTGCTCAATTTCTTAAATAAAAAAGTCTGAAAAATGGCTGTTAGAATAATATCATCTAAAATTACTATGATAACCTTCTAAAATAGCTTATAATTTATTCACAAAAAAAATCTAATATTGCAATTATTATTACTACTACTACTACTATTAGAGCTGGGCGATATGGCAAAATGCAATCTCAATAATTAATTTCCATATTGAACAATAACTATATATATAGTATATAAGTATATGTATGTTAACGCTAAATATATAAGTCAGAATTATTACCCAAACAACCCCCCCTTTGATTTTTTTTCACTTTTTTTAAATATTTCCTAAATGATGTTTAACAGTGCAAGGAAATTTCCACAGAATGTCTGACAATATTTTTTTCTTCTGGAGAATTTTTTTTTCGGCTAAAATAGAAGCAGTTTTAATTTTTTTTAAACACCATTTTAAGGACAAATTTATTAGCCCCTTTAGGCTAATTTTTTTTCGATAGTCTACAGAACAAACATTGTTATACAATAACTTGCCTAATTACCCTAACCTGCCTAGTTAACCTAATTAACATAGTTACGCCTTTAAATGTCACTTTAAGCTGTATAGAAGTGTCTTGAAAAATATCTAGTCAAATATTATTTACTGTCATCATGAAAAGATAAAATAAATCAGTTATTAGAGATGAGTTATTAAAACTACTATGTTTAGAAATGTGTTGAAAAAAAATCAGCTCTCTGTTAAACAGAAAATAGGGGAAAAAAAACAAACAGAGGGGCTAATAATTTTGACTTCAACTGTATATATTTTGATATAAGTTGCTAATGCTTCCAGATTTAAGAGTCTCCCAACAAAGACTGAAGCCGCAAAAATTAGATTGTCCATTAAATGGCATAGCATATTTCAACCGATAACTTTTTGGTGGCTGAAAATGTGGTACACCTCTAATATCAAAACACTTTTAGATTCACAATGTTGCACACTTCTGCTGTGTGATTGGCTTTTAGATCAGATGTCACTGATATAAATTTTATCGCAATTTAATATAATATTTTTTATTGGCCCAGCCCTAACTATTCTTTTTAATATAATTTAATAACAATAATATTATTAATAATAACAACTATTATTTTGTGGTAAACATGACTAGAACATGTTGTTCAGAGGGTTTTAAATAGTTACCCTGGTAGACTCAAAAAAGTTTTGTCTTTACAAACCAGGCAAACTTCCACTGCATTGTAGTCTTGGATTAAAAAATGACTTCCTACTTTAAGAAAAAAGTTGAGAGCTTTTCGAGAAAAGCAGCATACTTTCTTGGTAAGCAGTCACCTGCCAGACTGATTCATATTTCAGTGTTTTGGCCTTCTGATCCTAAAGGACAAACTGACTGTCTAAACATGTCACACTCCAACTAATACTCCTAATCCAATGACCTGTCAGATCTTGCAACTCAAATAAACAAAGTTTCCTTTTTTCTAAATATGACAAATGATTACACATGTTCTCAAGTAAAAATTAAACTGTCTGGCATGAGAGGAATTAAGTTAGCAAGCAAAAAACAAGTCAGAGCAGTGACAAGTCAATTCTTAAGCTTTACACTGTGGTAAAGACAAACATTGAGCAGGTGTCACTGTTTATAAATCACCTTTATATGTGACGATTATGCTCTCGCAGAGAAATACTAACAGAACAAAACCAAAGTCCATAGAGGTATAAACATTTATGGTAGTTTGCCGAGTAGCTAACCGGTTAGCTTAGCAACCGTGGCTGCGTCTCAATATTAGTGAGCTGCCTACCTAGACGGTATTACTAGGCGTTTGAACGCATCATAACAAACTAATCCGTACTCTTCACATACATAAGTGGTGCCTGGAATTTATATGACTATTCAAAAGGCCGTTAACTACCGTCCAAGACGACACACATGCTGTCTAGTTAGTCAGCTCGCTATGTATTGACACACACCCGGTGTCTCCATGCTGTGAAACAAAACCCCGGCGAACCTCACCAATCTGTACAATACAACATATCGTCGGAAAAATATAATTCGTGAAGGTAGAAATGTTTGTTTACTCACCCACAACGGATCAGAACCGTCCAAACTGCAGAAACTGTCAATACCCATTCGCCCCAGGAAAGGTCTAATTAAGTGTGCTGAGTTTACACTGCCGCCGTTTCATAACCACTGCTGTGTGTTATGGTGATGGGGACCTGTGTACAAATGCCACACATGTGGTCACACATAGAGGGCGCTGCTGCTTCATTGATTTAACTATTGACGTAACGAAAGTCACGCACGACAGCATGACAAGTGTTTTTTAAATGTTAAAACTAGTTTGTAAATTAACAAGAGGAAGTAAGTAGGCTATTATAATCTTACCAGCCTAGATAGGTTAACTCAGCTAATGTTCTAGCTTTTGGTTTATTTGGTTTTCAACCCTGTATTAACCTACTTGCAGTGTATTTATAAAGTGCCCTTTAAATGTTTTTTCCTTATATATTAGTTGTTGAATAACATAAAATTTAATACAACTAATAATAATACAATTTTACAAATACAATACCAACAAAACATGTATACAAAAAACAACAACATTATGTACAGTTGAAGTCAGAATTATTAGCCCCCCTTAGAATTTTCTTTTCCTTTTTTAAATATTTCCTAAATGATGTTTAATAGAGCAAGAAAATTTTCACAGTATGTCTGATAGTATTTTTTTCTTCTGGTGAAATTCTTATTTGTTTTATTTTTGCCACAATACAAGCAGTTATTATTTTTTAAAGCCATTTTAAGGCCCCTTTAAGCTATTTTTTTTTTCGATAGTCTACAGAAAAAAACATCATTATACAATATCTTGCCTAATTACCCTAACCTGCCTAGTTAACCTAATTAACCTAGTTATGCCTTTAAATGTCACTTTAAGCTGTATAGAAGTGTCTTGAAAAATATCTAGTCAAATATTATTTACTGTCATCATGAAAAGATAAAATAAATCAGTTATTAGAGATGAGTCATTAAAACTATTATGTTTAGAAATGTGTTGAAATGTGTTCTCTCTATTAAACAGAAATTGGGGAAAAAATAAACAGGGGGCTAATAATTCAATGGGGCTAATAATTCTGACTTAAATTGTATGTATATAAATGTATGTAAATAAATATAGAATCAGCTGTTCTGATTCTGATACAGCTGTTCTTTGTCAGTTAAATCAGTTGACTGGTGAAATTAAAGTTGTTAAACCCAACTGGTTGAGTTATTTAAAAAATAACCAAATAAAGGTTAAAAATAACCCAACAAAGAACCAAATATTTAACCCAACTGATTAAGTTATTAAATAAATAACCTAATAAAGGTTAAAAATAAAAATAAAAATAAAAATAATAATAATAATAATAATAATAATAATAATAATAATAATAATAATAATAATAATAATAAAATAAAAACAGAGCACCAAATAGGTATAACTCAACCATTGGGTTAAATCAATAACTCAACGGTTTTTAGAGTTTTTGTTGTTGTTTTTGTTTTGAAGGCTAACCATTGGCATAGTTAAAGGCATAGTTCAACCAAAAATAATTTTATTTACTCACTATTTACTCAACCTAAAGTGGTTCCAAACCTTTGAGTTTATTTTTTCTGTTAAAAACAAAAGAGGCTTTGAAGTTGAAAACTTGTAACCATTGTCTTCCATAGCAAAAACAAATATGGACAAGTGACTGCTTTTTTGTTTCAAACTCAATCAGGTTTAGAACAAGTAAAGGGTAAGTTCTTTCATTCATTCACTTTCCTTTGGCTTATTCCCTTAATTCATCAGGGGTCGCTACAGCGGAATGAGCTGCCAACAATTCCAGCATAACTTTTACACAGCGAATGCCCTTCCAGCCGCAACCCAGTACTGGGAAACACCCATACACACTCATTCACACATGCAGTATACTGCATGTCTTTGTACTTTAGGGGAAACCTGAGCACCCAGAGAACACCAACATGAACATGGGGAGAACATGCAAACTCTACACAGAAATACCAACTGACCCAGCCAGGGCTCAAGGAGCAACCTTCTTGCTTTGAGGTGACAGTGCCAACCACTGAGCCACCCTGTCACATATAAAGGGTAAGTGAAATAGTAAATTGGAGCAATAATGAGAGCAACTTTTTATTTTGGGGAGAACCATCCCTTTAAGGGTTCTTTTAATTATTTTTTACTTTGGTTTGATTATGCTTAAAGGGGCTAATAATTGTGATCTTAAAATGGTTTTTAAAAAAATTACAAGCTGCTTCTATTCTAGCTGAAATAAAACAAATAAGACTTTCTCCAGAAGAAAAAATATTATCAGATATACTGTGAAAATGTCCTTGCTCTGTTAAACATAATTTGGGGAACATTTAAAAAAGAAAAAAAATTAAAAGGGGGTCTTATAATTCTGACTTCAACTGTGTTTTTTAAATCGCCTGAATAACATAAGCTTGCTTTGGGGAGAACCATCCCTTTAAGGGTTCTTTTAATTATTTTTTACTTTGGTTTGATCATTGAAATACAGTAGCAAAAAGAATTTATTGACGGGATATAGTTCACTCTAAACTTAAAACTTCTCTAAATTTATTGACCCTCAGGCCATCCAAGAAATACATGACTCTATTTCTTTAGGAGAACAATAAAGAGTATTTTAGGCTAAAACTGTGTTCCTTGATAATTCATACAATTTATATCAACAACTACTGACTCTTTAAGAGTAAAAATAAACATGTCAATTACAACTATGACTCATACTAGGGAAAAACTGTCTGTGTGGGAACCTGAATATTATTTAGTATTTATTTACATACTATTTCTATTTATTTATAGACTATTTATTATGAATTAATTTTTAATTCACAGCAACAAGACATGAAAATATGACTCACGCATGAGGTGACACAACTCAAATTCAAAATTACAGCTGAAGAAAGCAAGTCAGATACATCTAGAAAGGCCTGGGGTTGAGTAACTTGAGAGCACATTTTTGTATTGGTGTTTAAACTATTCATTTAAAAGTTAAAAATGAAAGGAAAGACTTGTGTACTTGTGTAAACCTTGAAAATAATAACACATGAACCTGGCCTGTGTGATTTTACACTAAAGTTTTGTAACATATTTATAGTGTGTGGGTTAAATGCTCCACAGTTATCAGCTGCCCAAGTTAAAACACAAATATTAAATAATGACTTCAGTGAAGGCACTTAGACACATACAGATAGCAATTTAGTGTTTAATGACCTGTACAAAGCTGCCTTTCAGAAGGAAGGCCTTGTCATTTGGGTATAGGCAAATAGCCCTTGCAGTTTATTCTGATGAATTTGGCTGTAAGGTGGTCTGCTCCGCCCACCAAAGCCAAGGCTGTCCATAAATTAAAACTCAGATATTAATGAAGATCATCCAAGGCACTCACTTTCTGGATACTGCTCCAAGCACACACACACTGACACTGCAAAGCCAAGAAGAGGTTATCATATCATGTAAGTATTAATAATTTATACTTTTATATGTATAAGGCTATACGGGTACTCAGCATAAACGAGTACCTCTGATAAATTGTTTTTTATTTTTATTTATTTTATTTTTTTTCTTTTTTTTTAGAAAAACTACTTTTAAATAAACACTTTCAGTGAAACATTTGTGTAAATCTGCTTTTTTTAAATGTTTGTAAGCCAAAACCAAACCCATTTTAACAAAGTAATTTAAGGTCATGGTGCAAAAATGAGTAAACCCCATGAATATGTTTGTAAAATTGAAATTTCCCAATTAATCAGTTTTGCAACACCTATTTTTAATTTAAAAAATATTAAATATAAAATGTAAATATATATTTAATAAATATTAAAATGTTAACAAGCAACAGTCTTATTTTAATGAATATAACTGTTTAATAAAACTGTTTTGTAAAATTGCATCAATATATTTTGTCCTTATTCACTAAGAAATGGTTAAAAATCATAATTTTTCAATAGGGGTGTATTCATTTATTCTGTGCACTATTTAACTTATAAGTAGTATATAATACTTGCATATACTACTTAATTTAAAGGATGAGTTATTGTACTTTATTCCAAAAGAAAGACAAGCATTCTTTACTTTTTCATGTTAATTCATCTTAACTCTTAATTATAAATAACATTTTTAATAGTTGGGACTGTTACTGTCATAAGAATTTCATGTTTCTGCAGTGTACGGTTATTTAAATATGTAAACGATTACCAGAAAACCTGCCATTTTTACAGAATAGACTGCAAATGTCCATGACAGGGACTGTAAAAATCATGCAAAGCAGAAAAGCTTGTAATTGTCATTGGGACTGCGTTCACTGGACACACTCCATATAAGGAATGATCATGGGCCATTCATTATTGACTTTCAACAGGTTTACAGCTAGAGAGCACAAGTGACCCATGAATGGCAAAGATATAACTACAGTTTGCCTAATTAGATTATAAAATAAGGCCAAATGTTTGCACACCCATCCCAGTGTCAAATACAGACACGTGATAAAATACATTTACAGTTGAAGTCAGAATTATTAAACCCCCTGAATTATTAGCCCCTGTTTATTTTTTTCCCCTATTTCTGTTTAACGGAGAGAAGATTTTTTTCAACACATTTTTAAACATAATAGTTATTAACTCATTTCTAATAACTGATTTATTTTATCTTTGCCATGATGACAGTAAATAATATTTGACTAGATATTTTTCAAGACACTTCTATACAGCTTAAAGTGACATTTAAAGGCTTAACTAGGTTAATTAGGTTAACTAGGCAGGTTATGGTAATTAGGCAAGTTATTGTATAACGATGGTTTGTTCTGTAGACTATCGAAAAATATAAAGCTTAAAGGGGCTAATAATTTTGACCTTAAAATGATTTTTTTTTTTAATTAAAACTGCTTTTATTCCAAGTGAAATAAAACAAATAAGACTTTCTCCAGAAGAAAAAAATATTATCAGACATACTGTGAAAATTTCCTTGCTCTGTTAAACATCATTTGGGGAATATTTAAAAAATAATAATAAAAGGGGGGCTAATTATTGTGACTTCAACTGCATGTTTCTAATATCGCCTGAATAACATAAGCTTGCTTCACACTGAAGAAATATCATTCTTGATTGAAATATTTTTTGTAAAAAAAGTCAAATAATGAATTGACTTTTAACCACAGAATAACTCACAGAAGTTCTTCAAGATGACCATGCAGGACAACGATGACAGCAACAAGTTCCTTTTCCTGGACAGTGAGTTCAAAAACAGTGGGGTGGCTCAGGCTGACTGGTCCACCAGAAAGATGGTGTGGATTCCCTCAGAAAGGGATGGTTTTCAGTCAGCCAGCATTAAAGAAGAGACGGGGAATGAGGTGGTGGTGGAGCTGGACAACGGGCAGAAGGTGACCGTCAGCAAAGACGACATTCAGAAGATGAACCCACCCAAATTCAACAAGGTTGAAGACATGGCTGCTCTGACCTGCCTGAACGAGGCTTCAGTGCTGCACAACCTCAGGGAGAGGTACTTCTCAGGCCTTATTTATGTAAGTGCATTCAATAATCACCATATACAGACAGATAAGTGATTACACAGGGTACATGAATTTAGCTTTTCTCTTTCTGCAATATGTGAAAACTGAAAAACATGGTTAGTATCAAATCTGATTTAAATGTTTTCCATTTAGTTTTAGAGATTTGGTTTAAAAATATAAAAGTGAATCTGTAAATGTCAAATATGAATGGATGGATTTGTTTGAAAAATTGAAGAAAAATTAAATGACTGATTTTTCTAAGTGTGTTTAAGTAAAATGGCAATATTGATTTTATTTATGAAGGTCTGATTACATTTCTTTCAAATTTCAAATAAAATAATATTGTCATTTATTTAAAAAAAACTAACGTTTTCATTAGTTGTAAATTAAATTTTAGGGGGTATTCCACCAAGTACTGCTTTCTTATGCCCTTCTAATGGTGTGTGTGTGTGTGTGTGTGTTCAATTCAATTCAGCTTTATTTGTATAGCACTTTTCCAATGTCGACTGTGTCAAAGCAGCTTCACATAAATGGTCATAGTAACTGAATCAGGGTAGTTTAGTTTTTAGTGTTTAAGTTCATTTCAGTTTAGCTCAGTTCAGTGTGGTTTAAAATTATTACTGAGAGTCCAAACACTGAAAAGCAAATTTATCGATGCGTAGCTCTACCGATGCTGAACCATGCAAGCCAGTGGCGACAGCGGAGAGGGGAAAAAAAACTTCACCGATAGGAAAGTGAAGAAAAAAAACCTTGAGAGAAACCAGACTCAGTTCGGCACGACCATTTTAATTTCTCTGCTGGCCAAAAGTCTTATGCAGAGCAGCAGTCTCAGTGGTGAAGGCTGGAAGCTGGCCTCAGCGAAGACTCGTCTGTCCCTGGAGGGGGGGGAGGGTGGGAGGAGGGGGGGGTCACTTTTTTGTTGTTTTGACCAATTTTTATTTAGAAACAATGACATTTTTTTTTTTTTGGAAAGAAATCATTATTATTTAAACGTCAACAGTAGTTTAGTAGAACAAAACAAAAATAGCTTTACCAAAACTCCAAATTGTAAATCCAGAAACCTGAATATTTCCAAGTGGACTCTCAATTTCACAATGCTAAAGCATAGAAAGTGTATCAAATATATTGAAAATGTCTAATAATGTTTAATAAAGACTTGTATTTGTACACAAATATATTTCAAATGTTGCAACAATATTGCATCCTGTTTTAACATGTATCATGTCAATTCTCCAGACATATTCAGGCCTCTTCTGTGTGGTGATCAACCCTTATAAGATGCTGCCCATCTACTCTGAGAAGATCATTGAGATGTACAAGGGGAAGAAGCGTCATGAGGTTCCTCCACACATCTACTCTGTCACTGATAATGCCTACAGGAACATGCTGCAAGGTGACTGTCAGCTTTCACTCACTGAATGCACACTTTTACACACAAAATAAGTTTTGCTCCTTGTTCAAACTGCTTATTTAAAATGAGTTGAAACAACACAAAATTTTAATTGTTGTGGGGACAAGTTCATTGTTTTGTCACGCTCCACTTAAATGAGTAAAAACGATTAAGGTAACTTAATCTGTTTTTGTTTGGATAACATGAAGGAATCGTGTGGAACCCAACATATTCTACAGTTTAGTAAATGAATGGGCTAAATTAAATTGTTCTATGGAAAAAAAATGATCTTACAAAATAGAAAGCTGTGCACTGAAAAAAGATGAAAATTGTAAGATTTTGTCGTTTTGACTAATTATGTTTTGTAGACAAAATTAGTTTTTAGAAGTTGTCCAGTAGATACAAAGATTTTTGTTCACTGGCCTTCCAACTATAACTTGAATTAACTACTAAAATTGGACTAAAATGCATGTTGAAATTGCAAAAGTAATGTAAAATGCAACTTATATTTCATTATCATTTAGTCAGCTTATTAACGAAAGAAATCATAAACATATTTTACTTAATTGTCTTTATTTTATTAGATGTTAACATTAGTTTAATCAAAATATGAAGTAATTCCTGCTATTGACTGCACCGTGAAAAATCCTGGTTGCCTTAAATTATTAAACTGAATCAAATTAACCTTACTGAGTCCAAAGAACTTATATTATGTTAAACTGACTTAAAACAGCTTACGTGAATTATTATATTAATAGAACATGAATAACATGATGCCAGGACTATTATATAATTTTTTTACAGTGTGTTATTAGTAGTTTATTTTTAGTTTTGTCTTTCCAAAAATGTCTTTTTTATTGTGGCTGTTTGTGCACTGCATATATTGAATGACAAAATTGTAAAAATGATCCATGTTAGGATAGTGATTCAGTCCAGTTATGTACTGGAGCATGGGCACTGCACATCGCACCAGAACAGCCATCAGAATCACCATACATGGGGTCTTACTAAAACTTTTAACAGCTATTTTTGGAAAGATGAACTGAAGTTAATCTCACCCTGCAATCTGTTAAGCATACGTACAATTTAGGAGGCAGGGAGCTCCAGTGAACAATAGTGGAGTTTGTGTTAGGACAGGCTGGCCCCTTGTTAATCTTCTTCAGGTTCTTAACTGTGACAATTCAAGCATTTCTTGCCCTGTTCATGTACTGTACTAGTTCAGAAGTTACAGGGTTTTGTTTTTCTTTCTCCACAGAGCGTGAGGACCAGTCTATTCTCTGCACGTGAGTTTTAAAATACATGTTATTTGCTCCATATACACTGTAAATAAAAAAAATTAAAAACTGCCTTATTTTTTTAGCTGAATCACATGATCTTTTCTAGTCATCTCAACTTACATCAGTCAAACTGACTAAAGATATTAGGTTAAATATTAGGCTTTGTATACCTTTAAAAAATGTGTTCAAACCTGATGAACATATTAAAATAAGTTAAAGTAACATAAAAGCTTTTTTTGTGATGGCTTTTTTTGTAATATTATTTTTTTACATTAAACTGTGATCTATTACTTGTATTGTTTTTTATTTTTATCTCTAAAAAATTTTCAAGGAATAGTAAGACTTTCTGTGAAGCATGTACACTAAAAAAAGCTGGTTGTCTTAAATTTTTAAGCTGAATAAAATTAGCCTTAAGAGTCCATTGAACTTCTGTTATGTTAAACGGACTTAAAACAGCTCGTGTAACTTATAAAATTAAGTTAGAACATAAATATCTTAGTTTAACAAGTTACAATGACCTAAAAACATATGATGTCATGACTAATTGTTCACATACAGTTGAAATCAGAATTATTAGCCCCCTTTTGAATTTGTTTTCTTTTTAAATATTTCCCAAATGATGTTTAACAGAGCAAGGAAATGTTCACTGTATGCCTTATAATTTTTTTTTCTTCTTTTGTTTTATTTCGACTAGAATAAAAGCAGCATTAAATTTTTTAAACACCATTTTAAGGACAAAATTGTTAGCCCCTTTAAGCTATATATATTTTTCTGATAGTCTACAAGACAAACCATCATTATACAATAATTGTCTAATTACTCTAACCTGCCTAGTTAACCTAATTAACCTAGTTAAACCTTTAAATGTCACTTTAAGTTTGAAATATATCAAGTCAAATATTATTTACTGTCATCATGGCAAAGATAAAATAAATCATTTTTATTAGAAACGAGTTATTAAAACTATTATGTTTAGAAATGTGTTGAAAAATTGTTTTTCTCTGTTAAACAGAAATCGAGGGGAAAAATAAACAGGGGGGTAATAATTCAGGGGGGCTAATAATTCTGACTTCAACTGTACATTTTTACAGTGTATGCATAATGCAGTATTCCTAAAGTAATAGTTCAACTTTAAAAAGCTATAATAATATAGCTTTTACTATAAGACATTATGTATACTCGATTTATTAAAAAGTTTAATGCTTTAATTGCTGAATTGTAGAAATTATTAAGACTTTTAGCTCAAACTTGGGTGCTTATTAATAGTATAGGTAGTAGTTAGGTATTGGGTAGGATTAGGGGTGTAGAATAAGACCATACTATTTTCAACTAACAACCGATATCAAAATATAAATATATATTCATTCATTTATTTTCTTTTGGGCTTAGTCGCTTTATTAATCTGGGGTCGCCAGAGCGGAAAGAACACCCAACTTATCCAGCATGTTTTACGTAGCAGACGCCCTTCCAGCTGCAACCCAACACTGGGAAAATATATATTTATATTAAATATAAATTTATTTATATAGGCCCATAATAAGCCAGTAATTAACAGTTGGAAGTTGGGAACAGTACTTAAACTAAAGTGTCACCATTCACTTATAGTGCATTATAAACACAGGCTTTATTGAAAGTTTTACAAACTCCTCTTTCAGTGGTAAAGCGTTTAAACTCATTTTACACAAGTGTTCATTGTGCCTTTGAAGTGCCATTCAGTAACGATGTAATCAGCAGAACAATTTGCAAGAGTTTTTGCAAGAGATTTTGCCTGGTCAAACATTACGCAGGCCATAAAATTATACTCATTTATGTCATACTGTATGTGCAAAGCAGCCTTCAATGTAAATTATTATCACTTACTATGCAAATCATCATGTGATCCTGTGTGTTTAATAGCGGTGAGTCTGGTGCAGGCAAAACTGAAAATACCAAAAAAGTCATCCAGTACCTGGCGGTTGTGGCATCATCACATAAAGGAAAGAAAGAGGCCACTTCTGTGAGTCCGTCTGTTTGATATATAATACCCCATCCAGTACAGTGAGATGGGTTCTGCATGTCCTTGATTACTGTTTAGATTTTAATAACAGTGCAGTGTTTGATTAATACAAATGTCACATCTTTGATGTAGGATACAAGCTCTTCAGCACCAAACAAGGTATGTTTGAATGTTACATGGCAAAGTACTTTAATCCTGTAGTACATAAGCTTTTGCATGTGTTTTTGAATTTTGGTGGCTGTAAATATAGAAAACAAAATGCAACTGATGCATTCTCAGCAATAATGTGCAGGATATGCAGATCTGAAGACATTAAAGACACTATCATTTCTAAACATTTTAAACTTAAGTCATTCTCAATTTTTTCCATTTATTTGTTTCTAAATTTCTTCTTTTGGCTTTGTTTAGCAACAAAAAGGATCCCAGCTAGCATTTGTGAGTATATATGAAGCATCATGCATGACCAAGACATTTTCTTTTCTTTAGTGTGTCTAAGATGTATAATGCAGCATGCTTTCTTAATTAAATAAGATTTTAAAACTAAATTTTTAGAGAATAATTACAATCAATATTTTTTGCTACTATCCTTCAAGACTCGACATTTCATTTTTACAGGAATATACATTTAACTGAATAATTGCATTATTATTTACCAATATTTTACATTATTCATATTATATTATACAATTTATCAATTAATTATATTATATTATATTATATTATATTATATTATATTATATTATATTATATTATATTATATTATATTATATTATATTATATTATATTGTGTTATATTATATTATATTGTGTTATGTTATATTATATTATATTGTTTTATGTTATATTATATTATATTATATTATTTTATATTGTGTTATATTATATTATATTGTGTTATATTATATTATATTATATTATATTATATTATATTATATTATATTATATTATATTATATTATATTATATTGTGTTATGTTATATTATATTATTTTATGTTATATTATATTATATTGTTTTATGTTATATTATATTATATTATTTTATATTGTGTTATGTTATATTATATTAAATGATATTATATTGTGTTATGTTATATTATGTTATATTATATTATATTATATTATATTATATTATATTATATTATATTATATTATATTATATTATATTATATTATATTATATTATATTATATTACACTTCATTGAATGGTTGATTGAATTAATTGATTCAGGGAGAGCTTGAGAAGCAGCTCCTGCAGGCCAATCCCATTCTGGAGGCATTTGGAAATGCAAAGACCATCAAAAATGATAATTCTTCAAGATTTGTGAGTTTACACTTCATTGCTTCAATACTGAAAATTTGTTGATTACCTTTATAATCAACTAATAAAGAATGCTCTTAACTTCTCAGGGTAAATTTATCAAAATCAACTTTGACAACACCGGCTACATCGTTGGAGCAAACATTGAAACGTGTATCCTTATAATCTCTTTCAATTTATAAATAGTTTAACTATCCATCTTACAATAGTAAATTATACAGTCAAACACTCTCACCTTAACATCTCTGAATCCAGACCTCCTGGAAAAGTCTCGCTGTATCCGACAGGCCAAAATCGAGAGATCCTTCCACATCTTCTACTATATGGTGGCTGGAGCAAAAGACAAAATGCGAGGTGAGGACTAGCATGAGTATTTAACATATCTACTTCTATAGCACAGTCTTGTGGAAGTATATAACCTGATTTGGTCAGTTTATTAGATAACTTTATTTACAAAAAAAATGATGCATTTGTTTTCTACTTCCTGAGAGCTCCCGTATAGAAATCGGATGCATGGAAATATATGCAAATGACATAAATGGGCTCATATTTAGATTTCATTTATAAAAATACGAGACATATATTTTGAAATTTTTAATTCTGCTAGAATAAAAGCGGTTTTTAATTTTTTAAACACCCTTTTAAGGTAGAAATTATTAGCCTATTTAAGCAACATTTTTTTGATCAAGTCACAGCCAAGTTAATAACTCTTAACTGGGCCAGATATGTTGGTGTGCCGATTGCAATGAAATTAATAAACCCACGAAGCATTGCGCTTTAGGTACACTATGAACATGTTTTTTCTCAAAGCGACCTGATTGGTAGATTTTTTTACTTTATTTAAAAATTATTGTAATGTATTTTGAATGTGGGTCAAGACAGGCCAAACTTACATGGCCCACATATCAATTTTTAACATCTAAGCCAAAAACTACGTTTTACATCTGGCCCAAATCTTGTGTGCTGCCTTAAAGATGGTGCCACCTCTGTCAAACCCAGGCCATGTTTGGCCCATGAGCCGGATGAATGCCCGCTGTGCCAGCTTTATGCCAAATCTGGGCCAGAATTCTTTTTTTTTTTTTTCTTTTTGGGAAATTGAGATTTATGTATTACCTGAAATCTGAATAAGTAAGCCTTCCATTGACGTATGTTTATTAGGATAGGACACTATTTGGCAAAGAATTTAAGGGTTCCAAAAACATATAAATATTGAGAAAACCCCTTTTAAAGTTGTCCAAATTAAGTTCTAAGCAAAGCATATTTCTAAAAAATGTAAATGTATTTTCATGGAAGATGATTTTTACTTAATATACTAATGTTTTTTGGCATAAAAATATCAATCATTTTTATTTATGCAATGTGTTTATGCTATTCACATGAATTTACAATATTAGGTTTTGTGGTCTTGGGTTACATATAATTTTCCATATATCAGATTTCTAGGTGGGTTAAAAATAGGTGATATTTAATTACCGTCTGCATTTCAGACATAGCAGTAACAGTCTTTCCCCTCCACAGAGGAGCTCTTGCTAGAGGACTTTGCTAACTACCGTTTCCTGGTGGCTGGACATGTCCAGGTTCAAAACCAGCAAGATGACGAGATGTTAGAGGAGACTCTTGAGGCCATGGAGGTTCTGGGCTTCAACGAGGAAGAACGAATAGGTGTCTAAATCATATTTGACAATCACAAATGTACACCTTACCCGTTCATGTTGCTTACGTGTTTTGCTTTTTTAAGGCATGTTTAAAATCTGTTCTACTGTGCTGCAACTGGGCAATATTGAGTTCAAAGCAGAAAAAAACCAAGAGCAGGCCAGTATGCCAGACAACACAGGTAAACAGATGGATTATTCTGCAACGTTGCTCTTATCCTGAACCAGACTAAAATAAAAAATACTCATGTGTTGCATTAAATGTACTCGCCAGCTGCACAGAAAGTGTGCCATCTGCAGGGGATTAATGTGACTGACTTTACCAAAGCCATGCTCACTCCTAAAATCAAAGTGGGCCGAGAGCTGGTGCAGAAGGCACAGACCAAAGAACAGGTGCATTAACTCTCACACTAACTTTCACACTTCACTTCTCACAAACTTTTGTTTTTCTCCTAAAAATTGATAACCATTGACTTCTATGGTATTTCGTGGAAAGTCAAAGGTTACCGGTTTCCAACATTCTTCAAAATGTTTTCTTTTGTTAAAAAAAAAAAAAAAAAAAAACTGACAAAGGTTTGGAGATACTTGGGGATGATTAAATAATGAGTAAATTTTCTTTTTTGGCTGAACAATCTCTTTAATTCTTTTCTAAATCCTCTCAAACTCTGAACAAACAAAACATTATCAAATTACAGTCATCAACTGATTTAGAAAATCACAAGAATAAGAAAGTCTGAATCAAAGTGTCATAGAACTTCATACAAGTCATTCTGATTAAATACTTAATAAAATTCTAATCCACACAGTGCTAAACATCACCCACAACTTAATAATAACCATGATAATAAATTTGGCAACCAGAGCATAATAAATCCTTTCAGAATGTTTTAAATGCTTGTTTAATCAACAGATTGATTGTAGTTTGTAAAAAAATATATATTGATTCATAGTTTATTTAATAATTTTTCCAAGCAAAAGATTTTTCATGGTGAAAAAGGGTTCTTTAGATTATTAAAATGTTCTTCATAATAATGGTTTTGCATCAGGGGTTGTTCTGTAGCCAACTGGAAAAATATTTATAAAAAATATATAATATTAACAGTAATATTGAAAACACACACACACACACACACACACACACACACAAACACACACAAACACACACAAACACACACACAAATAATTTCTCCAGGTGAAAAATACAATAGGAATTGCTGTTTAAAAAAATAGCTTTTTTAAATATAATTTTGCTCTTTATTAAATATAATTTGGGAAATAATGGAAAATTGTTAAAATTGCACAGGAAGAGATACACATAATTTTATTTTCAACTGTATAAGAATGTTTATTCATATGATATACTGTCTATCTACCAGGCTGACTTTGCAGTGGAAGCCTTGGCTAAGGCCATGTATGACCGTCTGTTTCGCTGGATCTTGGGCCGTGTCAACAAGGCTCTCGATAAAACAAAGCGTCAGGGAGCCTCTTTTATAGGCATCCTAGACATTGCAGGTTTTGAGATTTTTGAGGTGAGTGTGATAATAAGCGTTAATTATCTTTATGAACACATTACCAAAACATGAAGTTTAAAACGTTCCTTTTTTTTGTATTTCCTCACAGGATAACTCATTCGAGCAGCTGTGCATCAACTACACCAACGAGAAACTGCAACAGCTCTTCAATCACACCATGTTCATCCTGGAGCAGGAGGAGTACAAGAAGGAAGGCATCGAGTGGAGCTTCATTGACTTTGGTCTGGACCTGCAGCCCTGCATTGAGCTCATCGAGAGACCAGTCAGTTTATGACCAACATCATTCAATCATATTAAACATATAACAGGAATCACCAAACTTGTTCCTGGAGGTCCGGTGTCCTGCAGATTTTTGCTCCAATCCTAATCAAACACACCTGAACAAGCTAATCAAGGTCTTAATAGGTATACTTGAAACACCCAGGCAGGTGTGTTGAGGCAAGTTGGAGCTAAACCCTGCAGGACACCGGACCTCCAGAAGCGAGATTGGTGACCCCTGCTGTATAAGGTCGACTCTTAAGAACTGGCGAAGGTTACTCAGTCATGATGTTTCTAGTGGTTTTCTCTTACAGAACAACCCTCCAGGTATTCTTGCTCTGCTTGATGAGGAGTGCTGGTTTCCGAAGGCAACTGATGTTTCTTTTGTTGAGAAACTCACAAACACTCACTCAAGCCACTGCAAATTCTCCAAACCCAAGAATCTGAAGGAGAAGACTTTCTTCACTGTGCAACACTATGCCGGCAAGGTATTTCTATCTACTCAAACAGTCAAAGCATTATATTGCACAGAATGACGGTAAATGTGTTGATAATGGGACAAAAGATTTCTATTTCACATGCAGTTCTTATACATTTTCACAACAGAATCCTAAAAACAATCCTAAAAGAGTATCTATAAGTATCTGTCTGAACAGACGTTTAAAGCAGATGAAGTGGGAAAACAGCACAGATATACTGCCGTTTGTATAATAGTAACAGTTTCATTAAATTTAGGTGGACTATAATGCCATGTCATGGTTGACTAAAAACATGGACCCACTCAACGACAACGTCACAGCATTGCTGAGCAACTCATCCAGTGCTTTTATTCAGGACATCTGGAAAGATGGTCAGTCTTTGCCTGAATAAGTAATAATATGGATTGCTCAAGTCTGTTTGAAAAGCAGAAGAGACTCCTTCATGTTATTAAAATGTATCTTGTAATAAATGCCGGTGTTTCCACAGTGGACCGTGTGGTGGGTTTGGAAACCATGGCTAAGATGGCCAAGTCTGACAGCTCAGCTCCTGCTGCTTCCAAGTCCAAGAAAGGCATGTTCCGCACCGTCGGGCAGCTGTACAAAGAGTCCCTCGGCAAACTCATGACCACTCTTCATAACACTCAACCAAACTTTGTGCGCTGTATCATTCCCAACCACGAAAAAAGGGTATGCCACAGCAATCATCCTTTAATGTGGTTTAAACCTACTGGTACAACTTGTGTATATTGGCCGAAAAAGCTCAAACACACTGCAAGGAATACACATGCATGGTTCAAATCTACTGTACAACTTTGCCTTCTTTAAAGGGCAGATATGTACATTGACCGAAATAGCTCAAACACACTGCAAGATCTGTTTGACAACACATGCACAAACAGAAACATGTGGCAAATAACGCATGAAACAAAAAGTAAAAAAATCTGTCTGCTTCCTATTTAGTCAATGGCATTGTTGGAGAGCTAAAAGTTTTTTTGTTCATTCGAACGCCCTGGTTGTTCCTTGTTGTTTGTGTATAGAAGCGGCCAGATTCATCACTTTTTGGAGACTCCTGACACATTTGCTCAGCACTGTTGGAGTGTGATGTTGTATTTGAAAAAAAAAATCCCCATTTCTATCCCCAGGCTGGCAAGATAGATGCCCATCTTGTTCTAGACCAGCTGAGCTGTAATGGTGTACTAGAAGGGATCCGCATTTGTCGCCAGGGCTTCCCTAATCGTATCGTCTTTCATGAGTTTCGCCAGCGGTGAGTCATTTCTGTAACACACACTTTTGTAGACATAGATGTCTCCAAGGTCATGTTTAATTTTGATGACTTAAGACATTCTGTGTGACATAGGTAACATTGCAAGCAATATGGCAAGCCGTTTTGACATGTAATAATTGAATTTATTAAATTTAAATGTCACCATATTATTAAATGTCATCATAAGTTAATAATTTAAATTTAGCAAAACAAAATTCAAAATAGTTTGAATGTAATTCTTGACATCAATAAATTCATTGTTGATTTCAGGATTTATATTGTTGATATCAACAACTGAATTACTACTAGTAAATGTGCACTGTTAATTAATTAAAATATTGATATCAAAAGTAAATTTCCCAGTTATGGGTTGCACCTGGAGGGGCATCCACTGCCTAAATCATATGCTGGATAAGTTGGTGGTTCATTCTGCTGTGGCAACCAGATTATTAAAGGGACTAAACCGAAAAAAAAAAAAATGAATGAATGAATGAATATCAATAGTTAAATTGCTAGAATCAACAATTCAATTTTTGCTATCTGGGATTGTATTTTCATTAGTGTCAATACTCATTCAAATGTAATTGTTGATTAATTTTGTTGTAGTTGAAATGTAATTTCTGATATCAATAATTGTGTTGCTACAAGTTAAAATTGTAGATATTATGTATTCAAATCAGAAATATTTATCCAGATATCAGAAATGTATCATGTTGAAATACATTTACAGATGTCGATTTACATTTAAAATTTTTACAGAGAATAGACATTTGCACTTTAGTAGCCACTTGCTTACTGATATCAAAAATGAAGTCCTCTAAATTGTTTATTTCAAAAAAGTGAAACCAAATTCAATTTCCGATATCAAGAATGATCATTTTAACTAGTAAAAATGAATTTTTGAGATCAAGAATTAACCATTTTACTAGTGGAAATGCAATTCCTGATTTAAACAATTTAATTATTGATATCAAAATCTTAATTATTGATTTCAGGAATAAAATGTTTGATATCAAGAATTAAATAGATGATATCAACCATCAGCATTTTTGATATGAAGAATTGTATTTCTGCAAATGATGACATCATTGTTGATAGAAAATTAACATTGTTAATAGTTGACATGTAATTGTTTTATCTACAGTCAGCATTTTTGATATACTAAATCCTTGATATCTTGACATCATAAAAATGACGTGCCATAAAACTACTTTATATGTCAATAAACTTTAAACTTAGGGCATTAGTAGGCACTTAAGTTGAGGTTTGTAGAATAAATTGATATTAATAAATTTCTAGCTATGAGGTTCTTGCTGCCGGTTCCATTCCTAAAGGTTTCATGGATGGAAAACAATCCTGTACGCTTATGGTGAGTTGAGCAAAATATCTCATTTTACTCTACTGGCAGGGACAATTCAAATGCTATATTAACCTATCTTACCCTTGATGACAATTTCTCCCTGTTTTATGAACATCAGATTAAACATCTAGACTTGGACCCAAACCTGTATCGGATTGGTCTGAGCAAGATATTCTTCCGCACAGGAGTGTTGGCACAGCTGGAGGAAGAACGAGACCTGAAACTGACTGATATTATAATAGCCTTCCAGGCCCAGGCCCGTGGTTTTCTTGGCAGAAAGTGAGTTCTTGACATGCACATACAGGAGATCAAAATTGCAGAAAGATTTACATAAAAAAAAATAATAATAATAATATTAAGTAGTGTAATACCAGTTTTACCATGCTAGTTGTGTTTTCCACAATTGCACTGTAGTGGCTATTTTGAATGAGTTAGTTAATGTCATTGTAAATAATGAAATATTTTAGAAATCAGATTTGTAATTACCAAATTCTCTGTCTGGCTAGCTGTGAGTTTCTCACTCAGTTTGCCCTAGCCATATCACCAGGCAGCCTAGGGGAACCTATATGAGGTAAACACAAAACAAAACTTTCCATCCAGAGCTCCTTCATGGGACTCCACATTTGGAAATAATCGCTCCATCTGCTCACCCAGCTCTCGGTCCTGCCCAGACTCATCAGTGCTACCAAGCCGACTAATCACAGAGCTTGCGATACGCATCGTTGCGACATGTGGTTAAATTTTTTTGAGAGGTGACCGTCAGTTAGTTTTAATAATTAATCTCTAATATCTGATTTATTTTATCTTTGTCATGATGACAGTAAATAATATTTGACAAGATATTTTTCAAGACACTTCTTTACAGCTTAAAGTGACATTTTTAAGGCTGATTTATACTTTTGCGTTAAGCGCACGTGTATGCTACGGCGCAGCCTACACGTTGACGCATAGCCCTACGGCCTGGCCGTTGGAGTCGCTGACGCACACCTCTCAAAAAATGTAACTACACGCCGCAACGGCTTGGAAGTCTGCAAGTCTGGGCGGGACCGAGAGCCGCGCGAGGCCAATGGAGCGATTGTTTACAAGTGTGGAGTCCCGTGAAGGAGCTACGGATGGAAAGTTTTGTTTTGCATTTACCTCATGGTTAAAGTGGAAAAAATGAGCGAGTTTAAGCCACTTGTACATTAAGGTAGTGTTCGGAAAAAACAAAACACAGGCGAAGAAACTCGACACAGAGGAACAATAACACCTCACTGCCAACTAGCTTTTCGGAAGTGTTATTGCAGAACAACAGAAACAGTGCGCAGAAGTATAAGTGCACAGTGACGCGCATTGCATGCGCCGTGGGTCACGCCGATCTCTTGACGCAGAAGTATAAACCAGGCTTTAGTCTGGTCAGTACCTGGACGGGAGACCACATGGGAAAACGAGGTTGCTATTGGAAGTGGTGTTAGTGAGGATAGCAGGGGGTACTCAACCTAATGCTCCAGTATAGTGATGAGGACACAATACTGTCAATGAGCAGTGTCTTTCGCATAAGACGTTAACTGACTCTCTGTGGTCATTATAAACCCCATGGTACTTCTCGTAAAGAACTGGGATGTAACCCCAGTGGTCTGAACCCATCATGGCATCCCAATTCATCCCCAATCACCAAATTGGCTCTATTACTATTTCTCAACTCCAGCTGTAGCTGGTGTGTGGTGAGCGGACTGGTGCTGTTGTACCATCCGAGTGTATGATGCACACTGGTGGTGGTGTAGAAAGACCAACCTCTCATGATTGTAAAGCTCTTTGGGTGTGTGTCCATACACTATAAAAGTGCTATATAAATGCTATATAAATTAATTAGTTACTAAAGTTTGATTGCCAGTTAAATAGGGTTGTCTGATAATAAATGAATTCACAACCAGATGATAGATTAACATCACTAAAAATCAAAGTGTTCTTTAAACTTGTTATTCATCGAATATTATTAACGAACTCATGAAAGTAGTGTGTAAATGTTTAAAAATTGCTCCTTCTATTTAAATAATTAAAAAAAAGAGGACCAAAGCAGTAAGCTCAAAATGCATAGGCTGTTCTCCACACTGATCTTGACTTTAATCTTCACTGTACATCAGTCACCATCTACTTGAATTTTCTTACTGTATTAACAGTAATCATATTTATCAAAATGCCTCACAGTGGCCATTTTAAGTAAATCTAAAACCTCTAAATTTACAGGGCATTCAGCAACAAACAAAAGCAGTTGACAGCCATGAAAGTGCTACAGAGGAACTGTGCTGTTTATCTGACACTCAGGAACTGGCAGTGGTGGAGACTTTTCACTAAAGTAAGTGTAAAACCCAGCTACACATTATCCATGTATGCTCAAGTACTCAGTTTATTTTCTCCTTTAGGTCAAACCCCTGCTTCAGGTGACTCGTCAAGAAGAGGAGATGAATCAAATAGAAGAGGAGCTCCAGAAAGCCAAAGAAATTGCCCAGAAGTCTGAAACGGAACTAAAGGAGATCACACAGAAACACGACCAGGTAAAGTCAGATCAAAAATGTGACACAAACTCAGCCGTAATTACTATTGTCATTCATACAGATTAAATATGCACTTACCAGCTGAAGCATTTACTCAACAGGTTGTGGAGGAGAGGAATAAGCTGCAGGCGAAGCTCCAGGAGGAAGCAGAACTGTACGCAGAGTCTGAGGAGGTCAGGATACGACTGGAGACCAAGAAGCAAGAACTGGAGGAGGTGCTGCATGAGATGGAGGCTCGACTTGAGGAAGAGGAGGAGCGCAGTCAGGCTTTTCAGCAAGAGAAAGGGAATTTGCAACAAAAACTTAAGGTTAAATAGTGATTACTTATGGCAAACTATAGAACAAGTGGAATTTAATGAGACTGTAATTTGTCGAAAACATATCATCAAATTGTTATTTTTATTGTTGAAACTAAAAAAAGACAAACAATAGTAATAATGATGATAAAGCAATAGTAATACTGATACTTATTAGTAGTATAACTTTAATTCTGTAATTGTTTATGTTTAGGAGTTAGAAAACCATTTGGCAGAACAAGATGCCACCCGACAGAAGCTTCAGTTGGAAAGTGGCGCTGCCGATGGGAAGATTAAGAAACTTGAAGAGGATGTCCTCATCATGGAGGATCAGAAAAACAAGTTGCAAAAGGTTTGTATCAAGTTTGACCAGTTTTATTTGGATCATAATCATCCCCATTTGGAAAACAAACATCAGGTATAAACAACAGTGGTTCTACTAATTGGCACTCAATGTTAACCAGTGAAATGATTTTAAACTCTCTGTTGATGATCTCCAAGTGTCTCCCTCTGCCCAGATGTGCAACCTTGCAGTACTTTCTGATGCACAGCTCAGTTTTACCTCACACTTGACAGAAACAGCCTTGTTTTACCTACGTCTTACGAATGAGACGTTAAATCGAGGCCCTATCTGTGGTCATTAAAAATCCATTGCACATCTTGAAAAGGGGTATAACCCCGGTGTCCTGGCTAAATTCCCTCCATCGGCCCTTTCATGGCATCCCATCCACCGAAACGGTCTCTCCACTCTACCAATAGCTGGTGTGTGGTGAGTGCACTGGCGCCGTTGTCCTGTGGCTGCCGTCGCATCATCCAAGTTGATGCAACACACTGGTGGTGGTGTGGAGAGACCCCCCTCTCATTATTGTGAAGCACTTTGGGTGTATGGCCATACACATTAAATGTGCTATGTAAATAAACATTACAATACATTACGTAACATTGCGCCGATCAGACTTTCTATCATGCTTGATGCAGAACATCCATGCCTTTATCACACCATGTCGTGATTTCTGTAACTCACTCTTCGGGGGCCGGAGGTTTAATTTATAATTATTATTTAGGGGGTTTTAACTTGGATAGAATGGATAGAAATGGATAGAAAAGTACAGAGAATTGACAGGAAATAGTTGAGAGCAGAAAAAGGGCAAGGGTCGGCAAAATTGAACTCGGGTCGCTGTGAGCACCATGGTGCTATATGTCGGCGCACTTAACTACTAAGCTATTGGAGCCGACAACAAGCTCTTGCATGAGTTTTAACCCACACTTCCTCGCACCACCATATCACCCCTGTACTTCAGCAACTTCACTGGCTTCCTGTTAAGTCATGTATTGATTTTAAGACCTTAATATTAACATCTAAAGCAGTGCATGGGCTAGCACCTGACTACATTTGAGACCAGGTAATTTTCGCCACTCCCACCCACAGTCTTCATTCTGCATCTAGACTGACTAACCCTGTATCAGCAACGCTGTAAACCTAAGACCATGGGTGGCTATTTCGTATTGTTTGCCAAAGCTATGGAACGGCCTACCCATCTTTTAATTTAGGCTAATTATTTTTTGTCAATTTAATCATTCAGTTTTATTGTTCATGTTTTATTGTAGTTTATTGTAGTTATTAATCATGGTTTATTGGAGTGTTTTTTCTGTTAAATTATTAGCTATTGTTTTGGCACTTTTAGGAGAAGCAACAGCTGGAGGAGCGGTTAGCTGACTTTAGCTCCAACCTTGCTGAGGAGGAAGAAAAATCTAAAAACCTGACTAAACTAAAGGCTAAACATGAATCTATGATTTCAGATCTTGAAGGTGTTTTAACGTTTCTTTTAATCATCTACATTATTAAATAATATTGTCAATACCTTAAAACAATCATTACTGTGCGCCTGTGCAGTTCGAATGAAGAAGGAAGAGAAGAGTCGTCAGGACGTAGAGAAAGCAAAACGTAAACTGGAGACAGAGCATAGTGATTTACAGGAACAAATGAAGAACCTGCAGACCCTGATAGCAGAGCTTAAGACACAGCAAGCCAGAAGTGAAATGGAAATTCAAGAACTTCAAGCAAGGTGCATTGTTACTCATCCCATAAATAGCTTTTTAAAGATATTGCTTCACTGCTCAATGTAAACTGTAACCAGACAACCTGTATATCACCCAGCGTGGAAGCAGAATCAACCCAGAAGAGCAATGCTCTGAAAAAGATTCACGAAATGGAAGGACTTCTCTCAGAGCTGCAAGATGAGCTTGAAGCTGAACAGGGGGCTGGTAGGAAGTCAGAAAAGGCCAGAAAGGAGTTGGAAGAAGAGTTGTCAGCCTTGAGGACTGAACTAGAGGACTCATTAGACACCACAGCCGTGCAGCAAGAGCTAAGGTGATTACTTCAATAGCATTAACATTTCAGCAACATGATTCCTCCTATACTATCGACTTTGTGTATGTTGAGCAGGGCTAAGAGGGAGCAGGAGGTGGCTATGTTGAAGAAGTTGATAGAAGATGAAGGCCGAAGCCATGAGGCTCAAGTGCATGAGCTGAAACAAAAACATGCTCAGGCTGTAGATGAACTTAGTCAGCAGCTAGACCAATCTAAACGGGTGAGAAAACTGCTTAACACTGGCAAAAAAAAAGTTCAAAATGTTTAAGTTCACTTTGGATATAAGCATCTGCAAAATCATTAAATATAAGCAATGGGTCTAATCTTGAAAAACAGGCCAAAGCCACTCTGGAGAAGGCTAAACAAGCCCTTGAGAAGGAGGTTGGAGACCTAAATGGAAACCTTCGCTCACTGGGTAATGCCAAGCAGGATTTGGAGCAGAAGAAGAAGAAGGTAGAGACCCAGCTTGCTGACCTTCAGACTCGTTTCAATGAGAGCGAGAGAAAAAGGGAGGAGCTTGGAGATGCAGTGTCCAAACTTAATGTGAGTTTTACATTCAGATTAATTTACTGAGTAAACAATATGGTATAAACGAAACAATATTTCTGTACAGGCATATTCGAATAACGAATGTCTTTCGTGAACTCTTTTAGACAGAGTATAACAATGTGAACAGCATCCTCAATGAGGCAGAGAGCAAGAACATCAAGCTGAGTAAAGACGTTGTCAGCCTTAACTCACAGCTCCAAGATGCACAGGTACTATATAACCACTAGCAAATGGTTTTTAGATTTTCATTCTTAGAGCATGACAATCCGCAAAGATCAGCAAATTCTGAAATACTTTGACCAACTCTGTATGGCATTGACAATCATCTTAAGTTTAAAGTCCCTTCAAGAGTTCACACTTAGCTGATAATTGATTATAAAGTGTGTTAGGCGTGCTGTCCTGGGAGAGAGCGCTGAGCTCATAAGATCCTCCAGCCCAGGACTCACTCCCCTTCCAGGGAGTTTGAGCTCAGGTAGACCTCGCGAACTCCCCTGCTGTTTATGGCTACAGAGAAATTCATAATTGCTATGTACTGCCGTCTAAGAGCTCAATGTGTGGTGCCAATTTGGTTTAGTCAATTCACTAATGCCGCATGCCTTTGGACGGTTGGAGTAAAACGGGGGAAGCCGGGGGAAACCTACACGAGCACAGGGAGAACATGTAAACTCCACACAGAAATGTCAACTGGCCTGAAAAGGACTTGAACCAGTGACAATCTTGCTTTGAGGCAACATTGCTAACCACTGGATCACCAGGAGTAGGGTGTAGGAGTAAGGGTGGAAGGGGGGATTCTTCAAGGTGAAGATCATTTATAAGCATGTGATTCTCTCGAAAATGGTTTATGAATAAACCTAAATTCCTTTTTCTAACTCATTCTGATGCTCAGTTTAACTTTTAGCAAATCTTCTTCACCCTATAAACATATACAATCGTAATAATTTGAATTTTGGTTTAGCAAGAAGTAGTTTATAATGTGCCTGGCGAGTGAAGCTACCTTTATATTTTAAAATAAGAAACTTTCAAAGCAGGATCGTCATAACGTGGAGTCATGCTTTTTGAAAAACTCTCATCTAAAATGAAGTGAACACCATAAGGTTATAGTGCATATTTTAAGATGCACCTGATTGATGATGATTTGTCTGTCCTCCTGTCAGGAGCTACTTGCTGAGGAGACACGTCAAAAACTTAACTTTTCCACTAGACTGCGTCAAATGGAGGATGAACGAAATGGTCTTCTGGAACAAATAGATGAAGAGACAGAAGCCAGAAGGAATGTGGAGAGACATGTCTCTAGTCTTAACACACAAGTCAGTCTCTCACATTTGTAACGCATATCTCAGAATATTTTTTAAAAAGCATCTTAGAAAATGTACAAATGAAGCTGAAAAGCTGAGCTAAAAATGTTTGTTTCCACAACAGTTGTCGGAGGCAAAAAAGAGATTGGACGAGTACTCCAGCAATTTCCAAATGCTTGAAGAAAGCAAAAAACGGCTACAGAGGGATCTGGAGGCCACTAAAGGAGAATTAGAAGAGAAAACTGCAAGCTATGACAAGTCAGAGAAGACCAAGAACCATCTTCAGCAAGAGCTGGATGACGTCCTGTTAGACCTAGACAACCAGAGACAGCTGGTTTCAAATATGGAGAAGAAACAAAGGAAATTTGACCAGGTTGCATTTCTGTTATAATTTGTCCTTTTCCTCAGTAAGATTACTGCTGCTCAATTACTTTTTTCTCTTCAAGATGCTTGCGGATGAGAAGACCCTCTCCAGCAAATATTCTCAGGAGCGTGACTGCGCAGAGGCAGAGGCACGGGAGAAGGAGACCAAATGTTTGGCCCTCACTCGAGCGCTGGAGGAATGCCAGGGTTCATTACGTGAGTTAGAGAAACTCAACAAGACACTTCGCACTGACATGGAAGATCTAATCAGTTCAAAAGACAACAAAAATGTGAGTTGCATTTTAAAGCCGAATGAAAATTGGAGAGAAGTTAATTGTAAATGTGAAGGTGTACAGTAGTCATCTGAATGTAAACAATAATAAAAACATAACATTTATAAAAGGCCCATGAGCTGGAGAAGACCAAACGTGCACTGGAGGCTCAAGTGGAAGAAATGACAATTCAGATGGAGGAGCTTGAAGATGAATTACAGGCTGCGGAGGATGCTAAGCTCCATTTGGAAGTAAATATGCAGGCCCTCAAAGTCCAAATACAAAGAGACATCCAAGGCAGAGAGGAGCAAAGTGAAGAGAAGAGGAAACAACTCCTCAAGCAGGTGTAGATCAATTTCTTTCTGGGTCTTCTTGAATTTGAACTGCACTTGTAGATTATTTAACTTTATTCATAAAGCAATAGCAAGAAATCTTTTCTTTTATTATTTACTCACTTCATGCACAGGTCCGTGAGCTTGAGGCTGAGCTAGAAGATGAGCAGAAGATGAGAACGTCCTTGGCTGCTGCCAAAAAGAAACTGGAAGGGGATTTGCAGGACCTTGAAGACCAGGTTGATGTAAACAGCAGAGCGAGGGATGAGGCCGTTAAACAACTCCGAAAGATTCAGGTCAGAAAGATAACTCTTCAAATTCTTTCAGAATTTCCCAAGCCATTCCCACCAGCCTTTATCTTCCCCATGACAGACTCAGATGAAAGACTACCAGAGGGAGCTGGAAGATGCTCGAGCATCCCACAAGGAAGTTCTTTCCGATGCTAGAGAATCTGAGCGAAAGGCCAGAGCTATGGAGGCCGAAATCTTACACTTGCATGAGGTAACATAATACCACATTTTTTTACTGCAATGTACTTAAATTACTTCCCATACAACGGCAATACCAATCCCTTTATAGGAACTTGCTTCAGCAGAGAAAGCTCGCAAACATGCTGAAAGAGAGAGGGATGAGATAGCAGGGGAGATGGCAAGTGGTTCCTTCGGAAAGTAAGTTGAGGGTTATTATTAGTGAAAGGAGAAAAATAAACAGGACAAGCCACTAAACATACAATTATTGCACACTGATAGATCTGGTACGTCTGATGAGAAACGTCGTCTGGAATCTAAGATCCAACATTTGGAAGAGGAGCTTGATGATGAACAGGCAACCACAGAGACGCTTAATGAGAGACTGCGAAGAAGTGTGCAGGAGGTAACTGGTTTTTGTTCATCACTTTAAGGCAGTTACTGTTGTTCCAGTTTATACAACAGATCTATTTTAATCTATAACCAGGTGGACCAGCTGACCAATGAGCTGCATACTGAACGCTCCAATGCTCAGAGGATGGAGAGTGGCTGGCAGCAGATGGAGAGGCAGAACAAAGAGCTCAGGGCCAAGCTGCTTGAGATGGAGGGACAAGTCAAGTCCAAGCAACGGTCCACTGTAGCTGCCCTAGAGTCGAAGTTACAACAAACAGAAGACCAGCTGGATCATGAAAGCAGGTGAGATCATCAGCATTAAGATGGATTTGGTTGTAAAGAAAAAGTAGGCCCGACTAAAATATTTTCTTGCTCTAGAGAGAGACAAGCAATTGCAAAGGCCATGCGCCAGAAAGACAAGAAACTAAAGGAGCTGATGAATCAGGTAGAGGATGAACGGAAACAGATGGAGCAATATAAGGACCAGGTATAAAGGGTTCATGTAAAGTATTTGACGTCCTATGTTCTATTCTGACAAATCTAATGGACGTTGCATATGTTTAAGGCTGAGAAAGCAAATCTTCGAGCAAGGCAGCTGAAGATGCAGATGGAAGAGAGCGATGAAGAATCTCAGCGTGCTACTGCTGCTCGGCGTAAACTTCAGAAAGAGCTGAATGAGGCCATCGAGGCCAACGATGCCCTGAGCAGAGAAGTTTCCTCACTCAGGAGCAAACTCAGGTTGTTCTGAAGTGACTCCTTTTTATTGTGTATGTGAAACCAGAATTCCACTGACATTCTCTGTATTGTACAAAGATATAAAATCAGTGGAATAGATAATCACTTTTGAAAATCGTGTTTGGAGACAAGTGGATTCTTAGTATCCTTTATGTTCCTCAGGCGTGGCAGTGATTCATCCTTCAGCACACCATTAAGGCGTAGCGCTGGTGGAAGCTTTAGACAAGCACGCAGAACCATGATGGAAACGTCAGAGATCCCAGAAGATGGGGGTCCATCTGCTACATCAGTGTGTCAACCTGGGGAACTTCAGATGGAGTCAATCAGCAACACCCAGGATAACAACTAAGAAAACGGATTTCCTTCTCGCTTCATGTTTTTTCCTATTTCTGTGTAATTTATACTTATTTAATCTTGATCATCTCCTACAAAGGAGGATTGGTACTTATGTTTGTTCTTTATGGGTAAAAACTGACTAATTAAAAAGGGTGTGTATGCAGGGTTGTACAAGCAAGCAAATTTATTACCGAGTACCATGGTGCCTCCATGCATTTTGGGCATGAACATCATAAAATAATGGTTAATTAACTCTTTAGCACTAATGACCTTATTCTGCAATACGGAAGTGCACTTGTTTTTGCGATTGTTTTAGTATTAAATATTCTATCAATTAAATCAATTAAAAGTCTATCAATTAAAAGTCATCAACAGCAATAAATAATACACAAGATAAAATACATAAATAATAACAGTAATAATATACAAGATAAAAATCTCAAACAGTTTAAGGTTTACTATTGATTTTTTTTTTTAAAGTACAATTTTAGAAAGATACACATTTAAAAAATATTTCATTTAAAATCCATCCAGATAAAAAAACAACAACGTCTGATAACATTAAAAATAGGGCATTCCACAAGTTTAACAGTTTGGTTTCTGTTGTAATACTGACATTCTGGGGGTGCTTTTCCTTTCAGTAAATGTTCAGTGCAAGTCTCAAGTGTCCAAAATGGATACTTTGTCTATCCTGATAGGGCTGTTTTGGCAGCTATGACTGGGAATAATAAGCAGCAGAAAACGGTTTAACTACTCGCTCTACAAACAATTATGTTTCAACACAACACAAAATATCAGTTTGCAACATTAAGCAGCACAACAAGCCATTTTATTGTAAAGAATGGAGGTTAATGTGACATCTCAAGCCAAAAGGATTAAAACGGCTGTGCCTGCTTATATGTGAAGAATAAGGTCAATAGTGTATCTCTAAATATCATGAAGTACTGCCACGCTGTTCCATGGATTTTTTTCTTCAAATAACCATGTACTCAATGCTAGAAAAAAATAGTCTGATGCTTGTGCATTTGAAAGTGTTGATTTCCATGCTACCAGACTTCTTCAAGTCCCGGGAGTAAGCAATGTTCATTTTCTTATAATGCCTACAACATAACCGTACAAAGCTGGTTGAAAATTGTGAAACTTACCCCTTAAACCATGCCTTTAAAAAGTTTTTTCTTTCTTCAAGTCTTAATTTTTTTCCTCCGTAAAGTGTATAAGATACTTTTTTTGACCTATAATAAATTTTCTGCTTCTACACTGCCATCTGTGCCTTGGATGTGTTACAGAATTAAATGCAAAGGGAAAAAAAAGAGAACAATTTCCAAAAAGAGTCAATCATTTAATCCTGTCAAGCAGACATTTATTTTGTAGGTTATGGATTAACCAACAAATGGTCTTAGACACAGGATAAACTAAGCATTGCCTTTGCTGAGGAATGCGTGGACATTACAGATGTTTAGGTTCATTAATAGCAAAGAAAACCCATGCTGACATTTACATAATTGGCAATTGTGCATGCCTTGTGCATATAGAATTTGGACTGTAATTACATCTTTAGTGAGGTTATTGCTGAGATGGCCCTGAGATGGTGCAATCAAGTGTGCTAAATCTTCCCATCAACTAGTATTCTCTAGTTCTATCATTTTCACTAGTACCTCTAAAAAAACTGGATAATATAATGCATCAATTCTTCCATAAATTCCTATTTTTAACATAAAAATATCTGTAACCTTCACTGAAGTATTCATATTGCTTGTTACTGGACTATATCTTCAAATCATGGATGAAAGAAATGTAGGAAACTAAGCGAGACAACTCCACTCAGAATTTCAATTTCTCCTCATCCTGGAATCCCTGAAATATCAGAGAATTAATACATTGGGAAGAATAGCGAGAAAAGCTGCAGCTCCCTTCGGGCTAGTAAGTTCCCCAATACCCAAGTTAACTTTGAGGCAAAGCTTATAATGGCCACAAAATTAAGGCACATTAAATTCACGTTCAGTGCATGATATGACATCAACTACTCCCCAGAATTGTAGAGATCTACAAATTCTTTGAATTCAAAGATGGCACTGACAATTCAAAAGAGGAGTTAGTTATTACTAGAAATAAAAAAAGGCCCCAGACTAGGGGGTTTTCCTCATGCATAAACATTTTGGCTACTGCTGGTAACTTCCGTCAACCCCTATGAGCCAACAACATGAACAGCAGCTTCAGCTCATAACATCTCACCAACTTCCTTGTAACAATTTCTAACTCTGAATGCTAAAGACTTGACATTCTGTTAGTAACAAACTCGTATTTCATCAAAATGCTAGTGTCTAAAAAAATAAAATCAGCTATTTCTATATTAAAAAAAAAGAGCCTGCTGTTAACGTTGCTCTAGTCCTGTGTCCAACAGTATGCATGTACAGTAGACGATTCACTAGACATCGATCAGTAGTTTAGTGCCAGGTAACTGGGGTTGCAGAGGCAAATCTATGGACTTACTTTCAGTCACCCACAACATTCTCCCAATTTATGGACCCAAAAAAATTAAGATTACAGTGCAGATTATGCATTTCAAAATGGCTATAAATCGCCAGAACCTGAAAACGTAAATAAAAAACAAACAAACAAACAAACAAAGAGTTAGTACATCTGCAAAAAGTTATAGTTTAAGTCCACAGGCCAGACAGAGCAGGTGAACAGTTAATATAGGCACACCAGAAGGATTGATATTGTATGAGCATAAAAGCAGACCCTTCTTAGATCGTGGAAGACTTGGGTCATAACACTTGCTTCAGCTTCTGAAAATAAAGCATTGTTTATAATAACTGGATTAGGAATACTGTTTTCCTGATGATGTGTGAATGCTTGTGCGTTTGTAGAAGATGCGCTGGTCACAGCATTATCTTGGATCCTGTTCCAAAGTCCAGTCGTTTCACCATACTGCAAAGGAGATACAAAGTGTGAAATACTTAAACAATCCAAGCCAGATCTGTTATAATAGAAAAATAATAGACATGTGCTGGAATTAACGTCAAGACTAACCCCTTATCATACAAGCCATTTGTGTTGGATGGGATTTCTGGTGTTTCTCGTGCAATGCTTGGTGAACTCTGGCCTATCAGTGCTCGGTTTGATGTTTTCTCAGGGATGTGTAGCTCTCTGCATGATGCCAGCTTTGATTCAAGATTCTGAAACAAACAAAGTGACATTAGATATGATTTAAAAACAACAGACCCCATAAACTGAAACATTTGGTGATAGAATAGTTACAGCGAGACTTACCCCGACTTTTCTTAACAACTCTCCAACTATATTGAGGGCAGATATTCGTGCAGATGTAGTGAGAGGAGTTCCAGTCAGACCTTCAACTGGACAGGAAAGGAAAGACAAAGTAGAAATCAGTTTTTTTTTTTACTTTAAATTGTTTGAAATGTAAGGCGGGAAAATTAGGGTAAGCTACTTTCCTTTCTTTAGCTGCTTTCTTGCTTCACATTTGTTAATTCACCCTCACTTTCTTTTAGTTATTTTTAAAAAATGGTTATGTGATTGTGCACATTGCAATGTTCTGCAAGTGATTTGGTATCATTCAGCCACAATAACTTTAGAGGTACTTTACTAGTAGCAAATAGTTTTTGTTGTGTTAAACTTGGCTGCCTATGCCTTGGAAAGACAAAAACCTTTGAAATCAGTGCTAAGTCACTAGAATAACTAAAAAAAAAAAAAGCTGTCAGTAGATAATGCAATAGGCATGTTGCCATTCAAAGCTATTTCTATTAGATAAGCTTAACCAGACTCAAATACGGCTCTGTTGAATTAGCTTTTAGTCATACTATTATTCAATACAATACAATACACAACTGTATTGTTCCTGGGTGCAAGTGTTCAAAGAATAATGGTGTGGTTGCACTAAATTTTTCTTTTCTTCGACGCCTATTTACACACAAGCAATTGTGGGAGACCAAAAACACAAGCCTGTTTGAAGCCATTTCATTGCATTGCAAAGTTCAATTGTGGTAAACTTGGACCAGTGATGATCAGAAGAGAAGACTGATACATCCTAGTGTGATCTCTGAGATGACTAAGTAAACTTTTTCCAGTTAGGTAACTGCACTACGTCAATGGCAAGTGGTCAACCCCCTTAAGCAACACACAGCACCATGTAAAATAATTAAGGCTGTTTTAAGTTTGCAGTTTCTATGGATTGAGTTTATTTTTTTACAATGTAAAATGGGGATCTTGGGTACCTTTGGGTGTCAGTAGGTATGTTTCTAGATGCGAACCAAATTTCTGTGCAAAAAATGGAATATTGCATAAAAGATGAAAAAAAAAAAAAAAAAAAATCAACGTTTCCATCCAATGAGTCAAAGAGAACAAAATCATCACTCCCTGATTAACTGGCGCCAAATACCTAAAGTAAAGGTGGAATTTACTGTCGTAGGAGAGGTTGCGTTAATCTTTTCTTTATTTAATAAATTACTTGTGCCTTAGAAGAAAACGCTGACATGCAATAAATGTGTGGCAGCGTTTGAAGACACAAGACGCTCTTGATTTTGGAGGTAATTAATAATATGATAACACTAATACTGAAACATTTAAGGAGTTTTAGAATGACCAAAACAACATTTCAGATGTTTTACAATGTGCTCAGTCTGCTGGTTTGTACATTCACACTATTATCATCACATGATCTCTTATAACAAAATCACATGACCGTATTTAATGCGCATACTGGAATTTGTTCAGTAAAAGTGCTTCCATCATAGTTTATGCACATCTTTTCTTATCGAATAAAAAGTTTATAATACAGTTATGCACATTTTTATGCGCATTTTCAAAATATATGCGCATCTTGGCGTTTCCATCAACCATTTTTATGCCCACATCCAAAATACTCACAAAAATAGGTGTATGGAAAACAGCTAAGAAAAGGCGGTCCCAAATCATCTCGTCTACAGCGTGATGCACCATACAAATATTTAATTTTGCCACCCCTACTCTGTGCTTACTTCTGCTGTAGGATGCTGACGGGGTATTGAATGCACTCCCTGATCCTGGAGGTCTGGAGGGTGTGGCAAGGAGAGACGGGAGGGCGGAGTTAACAACAGAGGATGGTCTTGCGGGTGTGGCTTCTGGCTTCTCCGCATCTTTAGCCAGGCTGATTGATGGCTTGCGCTCCTGTTTCTGCTGAACAGCCAGCTCCTGTCTCAAATCTTCCCCGAGGAGAGAGATAGCAAACAATCAGCAATCATGAAAGAAAACGAGATGGAAGTAAACGCAGTATATAAAGACGTGTTTTTGTTGAGTTTACCTCTAGCTTCATCTTTTAACCTCTGCACTGACTCTAGAAGATTCTCTTTTTCATCAAGCTCGCTCTCAAGGAAGGCATTTCTCTCTATAACGTGATTCATTCTCTGCTCAAAGTCTTCAAGTGACATTATAGTTGCCCTGTAAGAGTAAGATAGATAAGGTTTAGAAATACATTGTTAAATGTAAATGTTCCAAGTAAAAGCACTGAACCCACCTCTTAGCTCTTTCCAGGTCATCATTGGACTGCTCCAACTCTCGGATATACTTGTGCAGTTGGTCCTTGATGGCTGTGGTCTCTGCCAGGTCTCTTTCTAGAGTCGAGATCTGCCTGACTGCCTCTGAGTGCTGCGTTTCATACTTCTCCTGTTAGATCACACAGAGGAAGTGTGGAAAAAAAGTTGGGTTGAAAGTTAAATGTACAGGAAACTAGACTTAAAATGTCTGTAAGAGAGTGATGGTGTGTAGAATAATGAGGGAATAGAAGTTTGGAATCTGTCAAATTTGTATTGTCTTTGAAATTATTTCACTGAGGTTGCATTTATTTGGTAAAAACACAAACCATTAACATTGAAAATATATTTTAAAATATTTTTTCTACTTTAACACATTTTAAAATTATTTATGTCTGTTAAGCTGAATTTTCATCATCAGTCACTTAATCCTTAAATAATAATTTTAATAAAGCAGATAAAAAGAGACAGTTCAGCCAAAAAGAAAAAAACCTGTCATCATTTACTCATCCTTTACTTACTCCAAACCAGTTTGAGTTATTTTTCTGTTGAAACCAAAAATATATACTGAAAATACTGGGAAAAAAGCATTTATTGACTTCCATTGTATTTTTCTGTCCCAGGTATAGATGTCAATGGCTACTGGTTTCCAACATTTTCAACTCATTGTCCTTTATGTTCAACAGAAGAAAGAAATTCATAAAACTTTGGAACTGCTTTTAAATGGTTAAAAAAGGACATTTTTGGGTGAACTCTCTTTAATGCGCAAAACCATACCTTTTATATGACAAATGCAAAAACTAGTTGTGGTACTTTTTTTTTTCATACGTTTTACAGTGAATAAAAGGTTTACAAAAACAGCACTTATTTAAAGTACAAATCTCAACAACATCAATGTCTTTACTAGCCTTGTTAAATAAACAATGATTTATATATATATATATATATATATATATATATATATATATATATATATATATATATATATATATATATATATATATATATATATATATATATATATATATATATATATATATATATATATAGAGAGAGAGAGAGAGAGAGAGAGAGAGAGAGGAGAGAGAAGAGAGAGAGATAGATAGATAGATAGATAGATAGATAGATAGATAGATAGATAGATAGATAGATAGATAGATAGATAGATAGATAGATAGATAGATAGATAGATAGATAGATAGATAGATAGATAGATAGATAGATAGATAGATAGATAGATAGATAGATAGATAGATAGATAGATAGATAGATAGATAGATAGATAGATAGATAGAATAATCATTAAAATAAATATAGAAAACAAAAATAAAACTTCCTCATGCACTGGGATGATTATCACTTGTCATTGCCAATGAGCAGAGTAAACATACAAAATCACTCTCTAACATTAGATGCCCCTGAATGAAAAACACAATTACCCGACTTATGCTTCTGCAACTCACTTGTTAGAAGTCAACTTTTTCCTCGTGTACACTACTTGACAAAAGTCTTGTCGCCTATCAAAGTTTTAGGCACAACAAATAATACCTTAATTGATCACTTGGTATCAAAAGTGGCTTATATGAAAGGCAAAGGCTTCTAAATTACACTTATTTTACCAAAATAAAATATGATCATGCCTTGATTTTTTCATTATTTAATTAGGACCGTAAGGTCTGACTTTACTTAGACAAAAGTCTTGTCACTTAACAGAAATGACGTCCAGTATAGAATATAAAGTCATGGTGCAGTGGAAAAACAAGTAATATTGTGTCTGACCCCATGAACTTGGAGGACACCATCCATACATCTCTGCGATGACTTAAATTCAATTCAAATTTAAATAACTTATTAATAAAGTTATCCGGCAAAAACACGTTTTGCAGGGCTTCCAGAGTTCACCAAGATTCATCTTCAATGCCTCCATCTTACTCCAGACCTGCTCAATAATGTTCAAGTCTGGTGACTGGGCTGGCCAATCCTAGAGCACCTTGACCTTCTTTGCTTTTGATTGCCATCCACTCTGCGGATCTCTCACGAGACCCTATACTTTATAGCATAAGCTTTTTCCTTACTACCACTACAGCACAGACACAAACACCTGGTCAAAAACTTGTGAGAAAAAAGTTACAAGCCATGAAAAAAAACAAACAGAAATAAAACTCACTATCAAATCCTATATGATCAGCAATTCTTGTGTGCTACATCTTGTCGATTCCTTGTCATCCGGTGGCAAAATAATGCAATTTATTTAATTTATCATTATTTGGTGGGTTAACTCAGCAAATATTGATACTGTATAAGCAATGGTAATGAACTGTGATAAATCAGCGATCATATTTAACCATTTGATTTAGATTTATAGTACATTAAAGCCCCAAATTCTGTGAAATCAAGAATTTAAAATGTTTATTTCCAAAATCAACACTGTTTTACAACCACCTTCCAAAAATAACTAAAAACATGAGAGATCCTCCATGCCCTCTAGAAACTGAAGCAAAAATAAGCATCAGCTGATTTCCTCATCCTGAATTGGATCTCTGTTGCTTGTCTATGAATGTGTGACTGTGTTCTCACGAAGTACTGAAGAAAACAGCTACATACATTCTGGATGTCCACAAGGAGTCAAAGAACATTCAAATCAATGGCTTTTATCTGAGGTTATATGCTTACAAATGAATGTCAGTTGGTGATAATAAAATTTATATTCAAATAGTACAGATAGAAAATGTGCTTTGGGAGACATCGCTGACACAGCAGTGGCTCCCCATTATCCCTCAGTTTACAGTGTATTATTAATAGAATTTCACGTAGGGTTTGAAGCTGTATATAAGCTGCATTTTCTGTGAGCACAGCATACTAATATTTCCACATAATACTAATAATAATACTAAGCAACAGTTTGCATAAAAGACAGATACGCCATGTAAAGTGTTCAGTTGTGAATTGCACATTTTCTAAATTTAAATGTACTTATAAATTTCTCCATATGAAACTTTAATATGGACAGTGCCTACTAACAGTGGAACATCCAAATGGGTTTAAATGGAATATCCTAAACCCTTGAGCACTACACTTTTATGACATCACAATCGTGTTACATCATGAACACATAAAGCCGACTCACTCCTTCGATCAAAGTTAAGGGGTCATGGGTATGTCCATGTAAGCTTCCCTCATTCACTAAACGAAGTGGAATACACTTCAAAATGGCGTTGGGGATTACCCCGAAGGGAACAAGGGAGGAGAAGTTTGTGAGTACATGTCTAAAAGTGGACTGGAACACAGCCACTGTATTCCATTTGGAAGGGATCATCCCTATGCCCTAATCCTTTCAAAGGGTTTACAATCCAGAGTGACAACTAAGAAATGAAGGGTGTAGGGGGCAAAAAAAGCTTATTTTGGAATGCACTTCTGATTCATCTTAACAAGATGATCCAAAAAAGTGGGCCTTCATCACGCTCTTTGTCTGTAGGTTGACACCCACAAATCGCACTCAGAGTGATTAGTATATTGTGATGAATGGATGCATTTATTTATGGATGTTTGTATGCATTTCTAATTTTCATTTATTTTATTCATAACTATTTGTTTTCATTTATTTACTTTATTTATATGTTACAGTAGTAGCCAATAAAACTATCCTATACAAACATTTATAGCCTTCAGTTGTCATTCTATGACACTAAACTACTTCCCTGTGCAAAGATTTATGGATGCTTGAAGTGTCAATTAGTTGCTTATTAATTAGTACTATTCGAAATTCTTCCTTCTAAAGAGCCCTTAGATGTGGCAAGCTTTGAATACTTCAGATTAGAACAACTTCAATATGGTGGTCATGTTTGTTTTACTCTGAAGTGCCCTGGTGATGTGTGCCATTTGGAACGCACCAATAGTCATGCAAGTTAGATTTTATATTATTACAGTAATAGGATGCTAAAAGAGTACAGCTGTTTGTGAAGCAGGAAGCTAGAGAATTCTATCTGCTGTTCAAAACTAAGCTTTGAATAATTGTTTTGAAAACAATTTTGACAACCTCACAATCGATGCAGAATTGACTCCTCAAATAATTTTTTGCCAGTCACTCCATCTTTTCTTTTGTTGTATTAATGTTAATATAATTATACACATCTGTATTTTTGCCTCAACTGTTTAGAATCACTTAAAAGAAGACTGGTGATTTCAGATATTCTGAATTTAGAGTTTCTGCAGGTTTCATAAAGTCAAATTTAAGACTTTTTAAGACCATCAAGATTGAAATTTCAGACTTTTATAGGGCTATATGAGACTTATATAGTATTTTCTTAATGGCCCAGCACAAAACATACCTTGCCCCATCAAGAAACGATTTTTAATTTATTATTTTAGCCACATATTTAAAGAGCCCCTATTGTGGGTTTTCGAAAATGAGCTTCCATGTAGTGTGTAACACAGATCTAAGTAAAGTGAAATATCCAGTTAAGGCTTAAATCTGAAAGTGGACAGTTTTTAAAACTATTGATTCATCTAAAAAAAAAAAAAAAAAAAAAAGTCGACTCATAGTGGTTAGAATGAATCATCTTTATATTGTGTCTTTTGCCGTTTCGGCGTGACGTGACTACGAAACATAATTGTTATGGGCGCAAACCCAGGAAAATTTAAACCTGCGCCCCGCCCACTAACACAACGCTGGGCATTTGTCTCGCGCTGGGCATTTGTCTAGCGCTGAACGCTGTCGACCAATCGCAACAGGCTGTCATCGGTCCAATCAGCACAGATTAGCTTCGCGCTAAGGAGGGGTTTGGGAACAAATGAATCGCTGAACGATTCATATGGGAGTCGCTGGGATAATTGGGTAAAAATAAATGCATATTATAAGACCATGAAAGTTTTTTTTTTGACCTTGCGTGCATATCAGTATGTTGTTGGAGACCCATATAACCAAAATATGACCCTTTTTAATGTATAATATGGGCTCTTTAAAATATTGTGTCAAATCAAGCAGACCCAAGTTGTATACATGCAATTTTTTCAACATAACTTTAAAAAACTGTCAAAAACTTTGATAAACGAATTTATGCACAACAAAATGTTATCATATTCCTTATAAAAGTTTAATTGAGATGTATTGTAATGATTGGATGTATGTTGGATCGATTGGGAAGCTTTACATGAAAAAGAAAATTTAAGACCCTTTTAAAATTGTTTAAGACCTACAACACTATATTTCTTTGAATTTAATATTTTAAAAGCCTAAAAATGTGTTTTGGGAATTTAGGACATTTTAAGACTTTTTAAGACCCTGCGGACACCCTGGAATTAATTCTGTGAGCAACTGAAACTTTAAGTACATCAAGCCACATTCACATAAAGACATGACTACCATCTCAATATACTTCTAATTAGGAAGAATTTAAATTACATCGGTCTTCTGTCATACAATTAATTCTGTCTTTCACTCTGTCATTATTAAATTTGGGAGTTAATCTACAATTTTATCTATTTATAATTTCTATCCAACGTATGTATTACGTGCAATCGATTTACCACTATTATAAACCTTCTTCTAGAGCAGTTGATTAACCAGGCATTACCTTGTAGTTTTCTAGCTCCATGCGGAGTCTGTTGTTGGCTGTAAGGAGTTCCCGATTGCGTGCGTCACACTGCTTCAGCTCGGTCTCCAGCTCCACCTCATAGTCTCGACTCATCTGCTGAAACTCCTGCAGCTCCTCCTGTGCCTCCTCAGCCCTGAAAGTGCAGAGATCCCATACAAATTACCCAATGTTGTTTGTACAGCCAGATCTTCCTAGATCCTCCAGATCAGCCAGACTGCAGTGCTTCTTGTACAATCTGAGACCCACTTTATATCGGATATCAATCAGCCAGTGGAGATCACGGATTAAGTAATCAGACCTTAAACGTGCCAATTTTGCAATTGGATACAGTTCACCGGAAGCGTTTAACCCAGGTTACTGGCAAGTTAAAAGTCCTATTAGCATGCTTTGGCATATACTCTATTGGGTAGCTTTACATAGACATAGAAAACTTAAGTCCTGTTTAAAATGATTTAAGACCTACAAAACAATATTTTAGTGAATTTAACACTTTTTAAAGGCCTACAATTTTTTTTATTTTATTCAAAACATTTTAGGACCCAGCGGATACCCTGCTAGACCTAAATTTCCATAAAGTCCCATGTAGATTTGATGTGATTTGAATGGAAAAACAAGATGAAAGTACCTCTGCTTGCATTTGTCAGCCTGTTCCTTCCAGTAGTCTCTCTCTTGTTCGACAGAATCAAACGATGCTGGCTCTGGGTCACTCATTGCTGTTCAATCAAGCTTACTGGGAAAATTACAAATATTAAGACATTAAAAACAATTCAATCATTTTAGTACAGTTGAAACCCTCTGATTTCCACTGAGCTTCTGCAAGTTTTATTATGAAGGTTAGCGTAAGACTTGAAATTGTAATACGTTATGGGAGAGAACGTGTGTAACAACAAATTAAGTTTAGAATTAAACCTTAAAATCAAATATATGAGCAATTCCAGCGTTATGGACATGACATTTGCAGTAATAACTCCGAACATAAATTCACAGAGGAAATATATGTTAACATTATATTGAAACATCTGTTAATATTTTCCAAAACAGCTAACCGCAGAGTTGTGGAAGCAGAAAAATATCAATCTTTAAATCTTTTTTAGATTTTAAATGAGGAAAATAAACATGTGTTATGGATGTGACCAGAAAAAGTCTGTGAGTTTAAAGAACACAAAATACTTTGTAGAAATTCTGTAAATTAAACTGCACAACCCACAGTTCTCTATAGATCAAAAATATTTGGTTTTAATTTACTTTACATGTATGCATTTTTGAGAGAAAAAGCTTGGTTATGGATGTTTGTTTGTTTGTTTGTTTGTTTATATACTTTATATGTGTGACATCTCTCCATGACATCTCTTCATTATGGATGTGACAGATGTGAAATTGACACTTGTGTAATCAAATATGATTGTTTAAAAACATTTACAGAGACATTTCGGAGAATTTTTAAAGCACTGTAAAATACAAGCCTACACTAAAAAAAACAGAAAGGCTTTCAATTTTTTTCACAATTTTTATGGCAAGATTGACATTTGCATGGAATTGCTCACCTGCCAACGGGCTCAGAAAAAAATCATGGTAATTCACAAAGAAAAGTAATTTCTATGCCCCATATATATATATATATATATATATATATATATATATATATATATATATATATATATATGTGTGTGTGTGTGTGTGTGTGTGTGTGTGTGTGTGTGTGTGTGTGTGTGTTCAAGTGTATTATATAAAATTATATTTTATATATATATATATATATATATATATATATATATATATATATATATATATATATATATATATATATACACACACACACACACACAAACATTTCTCAGAAAAAAATATATTGTAGTCTTGAATGTCTTCATTTTGCAGATATTATTTCTTACCATTACTAAGTAATACCCTTACTGTTACTCTTACTGTTTTTCACCAGCATTAAACATTTGATGCCATGACTTCTTAAATTTAACACTGCTCTGGTGAAATAACATTTATGACGTTAAATTGTGAAAGGGCAAATCAATACTTTTACAACGATCCTGGAACCCTCAGAAACACTAAAGGCTATATCAAAAACTGTGAAGTCTACCATAATAATAACCTGTTTACACATACTGTGCACACAGAAAAGGGCCAAGTTATGAGGTTAGCCATTGAAACACTGTCTTGTATGGCTGTAGTTTATTGTAACATGGACAAAAAGAAGAGGAAGGGTGTGTCTTGCGATGATTTTGACCAACTAAAAATATTTCCCCTCAGGCGTACAACTCAACATTTCACTGTTTTATTAACAAAGACAATGTTTAAGAACAGTGTAAAAGACACTCGAAAAGGATTTACAACTCAAGCTAAGCTAACGACAAAACAAACCTCTTAAAAATGTGAAATTAAGTATACAGTTCTGCTTCCGTCTAAATTATGAATTAGCCACCCCAGAGCAAAATATTTATAGTTTTAATAGACATAAAGCTAGCATCCCCATCTCATAAAAAACACATCTGTGCTGAATCTGCTAGCTGGCTAACAGCAAACCGCACACAGAAAGTTTTATCTACAGTCGGCGGATTCAAGAATTGTGAGTAACGAAGTCACTTCAACAACAGATGAAGTAAGTGTATGACGTGTGATTTGAAGTAAAATACAATATAGTACAGTAATTATATGATTATAAGCATGTTGGTGAGAGTTTCAGAGGACTAACACGTCTCACAACTCAACAGGACTAACGTTAATGAAACTGCCATTATCAAAAGCCTTCGCGCTAGCTAGCGACTTACCTCCGGGTAGTGCTCAAGGTTGCTTTCTTCCGAATATCCTTCTATTTCCTGTGAGAGATAATTTTGAGCTAAATGCTATGGTTATGCTTTGTGAGGATAAAATAAAAACAATACAATAAATAATTTTGTGGAACGTCACTCTCCTGACAATAGAATTCTTCCTCTGTTGTGTAAAAACTCTCAGCTCGTGGTTTGATTCATGCCTGCATCCGATTGGCTGATTTGTAATGATGCCATCATTTTACTGGCCTTCGGTTGGTTGTTCCGTTCCGTTTGTTTTAAAGCGATCAGCCTTACGTTCGTCGAGCACTAGAAGGCGCTGAACATCTGCTCGACTTCTGTAAAATATTATTATTTTAGTGTGGCTTTGTAAAGTTCTTTGTAAAAAAAAAATAACAAAAAAAGGTGCTTATTATATCTATTTTTAATAGATTCATTTTAATAATCACATTTTTTATACATAAACATTTTTTAAATAAATTTTTTATTATTTTAAAACTTTCATTATTTTTTACTTATTTTAGAATTTTGTAAATATCTTAATTCATTCATACATTAATTTTCTTTTTGGCTTAGTCTTTTTATTAATCTGGGATTGCCACAGCGGAATGAACCGCTAACTTATCCAGCATAGTTTTTACGCAGCAGATGCTCTTCCAGCTGCAGCCCATCACTGGGAAACCATACACTCCGTACACACTCATTCACACACATACGCTACGGACAATTTAGCTTATTCACCTACACCGCATGTTTTTGGACTTGTGGGGGAAACCGGAGCACCCAGAGGAAATCCATGCAAAAACGGAGAGAACATGCAAACTCCACACAGAAATGCCAACTGACCCAGCCGGGGCTCGAACCAGCGACCTTCTTGCTGTGAGGCGATTGTGATACCCACTGCTTTATTATTTATTTTAAAGTCAATTATTTTTTTTTATTATTATGCTTTTTTTCATAGTTTCCACAGATCTATAGAGGACCTGCAAAACAATAAATAAATACGCAAATCTACAAATTAATGAGTAAATAAATCCATAAATTCCTTCATAAATAAAACCATAAATAAATAAATTAATTAATTAATGTATATATAAAATCTACAAATTCCTGCATAAATAAATATATAGACAGTTAATAGTGTAAATAGTTAAATAAATTACATGAATGTTGAAAGAATAAGAAAATGTACATTTGTTAATAAAATTAGATCTTCCCCCTCTTTAAAACGTTTAATAATTCATAAATAAATGTAGTTGCGTATTTACTTTTCCTTAGCTCAACATGCTAATGAGAGGGTGTCTATCAATCATCAGAAGTTAGTCAAAAAAATCAAATGCAAAATATTTCTATCGATCAACCAAAGATGGCACTAGGATCGCCTTCTGATGATTGACAGGCACCCTCTCATTAGCATGTATAGATGAGGAAAAGTTCAAGAATGAATAAAAGTTTGAAAGGGGCAATAAACTCTCAGTTTAGCATTTTCTTATTCTCCTAAAATTCGTGTAATTTATTTATATACCTGCACACATTTTAAATTATTTATATATTTATTTATGCAGGGATTTGCATATACATCTATTTATTTATTTGCATATTTATTTATTATATTTATGCAGGAATTTATGGATGTAATTACTCATTTATTTATATATTTGCCTATTTATTTATTTATTGTTTTTGCCGGATTCGTCCTCCTTACAGATCCCCTGCTTGCTCAAAATACATTCATAGGCACATGCTGAAATACTGTTTAGGCCCTAAATATTTGCATGAGATTACACTAAATTCATTAGCTGGAAATATTTGTCTCTGTGTAGTTATTTAGCAACCCTGCCCCTTGTGTAATTGAATTCAGTCTCAACACCTCTTACCAAGATGATGACTATGAAACCAAGGTGAACATTTCAGCAAGACAATGACCCCAAACACAGCCAAGAAACTCTCAAATGCTTTCAGAAAAAAAATATAGGTGTTGGAATGGCCCAGCCAATAACCCAACCTGTATCCAATGGAAAATAAGAACAAAAGCTCAGAGGTGGGTTAGAACTGTCTAGATTAAAACACTGTCAAAGTTTGAGAAAGAAAAAAATCACACCTGAGTAATGCCTACGACTTCATTCTCCATACAATAGGTGTCTTGAAGATGTCATTTCAAAAACAAAAGCCTTTTATACAAAACATTAAATGTAATTCAGTAGTTCAGCGCTTTCTCCTTGTGTCATTCCATTACAAATACATAATTGCTCTGAATTTTCCACCAGAATCTGACAATTCACATCAACAGCTCTTATAGAAATATATTTACCAGGAAAAATCTATAGTTAGTCACATTTGCAGGTGCTCAGTGAATCTGTGAATCATTAACCACTCAGGTCAGTTCGAAAAGCCAGTTATTCAGAAGATTTACTGAGAAACCCACAAACCAATATTTGTAATTAATCAGACATTTTATAGATCTACTCCCTAAATTTACATGAGAAAATATAAATCATTCTTGATTATAATTTAATATAGGGGATACTTTATTTATACATACATTTTTATGTGCAGTTGAAGTCAGAATTATTAGCCCCCTTTGAATTTCTTTTTTCTTTTGTTAAATATTTCACAAATTATGTTTAACAGAGCAAGGAATAATTCACAGTATGTCTGATAATATTTTTTTCTTTTGGAGAAAGTTTTTTTTATTTTTTATTTTGGCTAGAATAAAAACAGTTTTTAATTTTTAAACACCATTTTAAGGACAAAATTATTAACTCCTTTAAGCTATTTTTTTTCAATAGTCTACAGAACAAACCATCGTTACACAATAACTTGCCTAATTACCCTAACCTGCCTAGTTGACCTAATTAACCTGGTTAAGCCTTTAAATGTCACTTTAAGCTGTATAGAAGTGTATTGAAAAATATCTAGTCAAATATTATTTACTGTCATCATGGCAAAGATAAAATAAATCAGTTATTAGAAATGACTTATTAAAACTATTATGTTTAGAAATGTGTTGAAAACATCTTCTCTCCGTTTAACAAAAATTGGGGAAAAAAGAATAAACAGGGAAAAAATACAGTAGTCAACATTTGTGGTTCAAACGCTTTCATTAAAGTAGCCCTATCTGGGTGAAATAATTGTAAAATAATTATAATTGTTTAACATAAACATATTTATGTAAAAATGGAACAGCATGCCTATTCTGACCTGCACTTAGATAACAATTTATCATTAAATAGTGATCATAATTTTCTCTTGGAATGAATTATAAAGACATAAAAAATAAAAATAAAAAATCAAATAATTCTTGTTCAGGCATTTAACTTGACAGAATTATACGTAAATTATTATTACACAGAATTACGTTGTAGTTAGTGTCTAAAATCTTCTGCAAATCCTGCTAAAAATATATATATTTCCCAGCCATCTAACATAAAATAAAGAGTTTTAAGCTGTAATACATTTGATTGCTTTAATGCTCAAAACCCCTTATTCTGATCTGTGACCAGTAACTTAACAGCAAACAAAACCAGTGCATCCTGTTTCCAATCTAAAGGTTGACCTAGATCTTACTGCTTTTGCAGTATTCGGTGAGACCCTCCTGTTCACTATGAGCTGAATTAATTCTGACCTCTGATGACATCAGCGACGAGCATTTGAAGCCATTTTAATCCAGTTGTTGGGATTTGCCGGGAACAAAACAATAAAAAAAGCACAACAGGGAGACACATCTACAGATTGCACGCATGAAAAAATGTGACATTTCTCATTTCACAAGGTAAAAGACACAGAAAATAAACACTGTCCCATAAATAGAAGCTCAACTCGGAGTCCTTATGAAATGGTAACACAGGACTGCGAATGATTCCTTTGCTCGGGCAGCAGAGGTTTGACTTGGCTCATTTGGGTCATGGCCGAGTGGACCATCTTCTGCTTGATAACAGGCACCCAAACAAGTCCAGTCACCAGAAACATCAGCCCCACCGAAAGGAAGATTGGTCCTACTAAATAGGGCACATTGCCCACCTGGGTGAAGTACAGTAAGGATAATGCAGTGCCTGTCCCGAAGAGAAGACCTCCAATGAAGATGGCCAGAGCTGGCTTTTGAAAATGACTCCAGCTGCATTTCACTCCTTTGCAGGACTTCATTCTAGGGCACGAAGCAGCTTCAACGCTCTCCGTCCTGACTGCAGATATATTGGCATGCATGTTGATCTGCTGGAATGTAAGAGCAGTGATATGAGCTCAAAAACTTACACTCAGGGGCTTACTAAACTAATAAGCGAGGTAAGCAGCTGCTTAGGGCCCCGGGGAATTAGGGGGCCCCGACCAATGCTTAGAAGCCTATTTTAATCATATAAATCTTTTATAAATTTTCTATCATATGTTGTAAAATCTGTATATAACCATTAAGAGTATAGGTCTGTTAAAAAAAATTATATATATATATATATATATATATATATATATATATATATATATATATATATATATATATATATATATATATATATATATATCATTGCAGTGAAAATTAACAGCTGCCAATTCACAAACAGCATTTATTCAATTCATTTAGTTGAATAATCATGAATTAAATTTGTTAAAATGTTTTTGTTTTTTTTAACATCAAAATATATTCACAAAAATGGCTAATTTAGTATATATAGTTGCAAATTATTTAGGTAAATGTTTTTTTATTTATTTGTGATTGTAGTGCATTTAATTTTACATTAGAAAGTAAAAGGTTCTGGTAATTATTAAAACACATAAAATATACTTTAAATATTTTTGTATACTTTTTATACATATTTTCTTTTTGGCTTAGTCCCTTTACTAATCTATGGGAACCGCCATATTTATTTATTTATTTTAATACTTTTTAACATGCACTTTATTTACAGTAATAATAATAATCTACAGAGAAAAAAAAATCTATACTTGAAGAGAATGTTTTGAGTTTCAATGCTAGGGCTCCCAAATCACCATGTCCGCCCCTGCGTACACTATTAGTTAAGAGACTTTTTAAAAGAAGCCCATTCTGTAAAATATGAATGATTATTTTAAGACATAATTTCCTATTGGATAGCTTCAAATGTGTTTCTTTGATTGAAAGATGTGTCAACTTTCTCAATTATTATTCAGTGTCACTTGATCCTTCAGAAAATCAGTGCAATATGATGATTTGCAATAAATTGAATTTATTAATATTAATA